AAAAAAAAAAAAAATGCCTGGAGATGTACCTTAGTAGTAAAGGGACCCTGGGTTCAATCTCTAGTACCAAAAAGTTAAAAAAAAAAAAAAAGGAAGGTGGAGGGGAACATATATCTTTTTGAAGGATATAAAGAACTATTAACTAGAGGAAAACCTGTGGATGTAGCTGAGTGATAGAGCTCCCCTGGGTTCAAATAAAAAAATTTTTTTTTTTAGTACTGGAGAGTATAGTACCAAAGAGTGATAGAAATACTGTACCACTGAGCTATACCCCCACCCTTCTTTATTTTTATTTTGAGACACAGTATCACTAAATTGCTGAAGCTAGCCTCAGCCCTGCAATCCTCCTGCCTCAGTTTCCCCAGCTGCTGGGATTACAGGCATGCACCACCATACCTGGTCATTTCTCTTAAAATTTTTACTGAGCTAGCAAATATATCACTCTCCCTAGTACTCTACAAGCCAGAAAGTTTTTAACTTGGCTTTTTCGGTATGAATGATGCATTTGTGTGTGTGTGTGTGTGTGTGTATGTGTGTGTGTGTGTGTGTGTGTGTGTGTGTGTGTGTGTGTGTGTGTGTGTGGTGTAGGGGATTGAACCCAGGGCCTTGTGCATGAGAAGCAAGCACTCTACCAACTGAATGTCCCGAATAATGTATTTTTGCTTAACATTAAATTATAATTGCCTAGAAGGACAGAGCAGAAAAACAAATATCTTTCATATAGCAAAGTCCTTGAACTATCTCCTAGCCTCATTAGCAATTTTCCCAAGTACTAAAATCAGAAACTCACTTCTGTTATCCTTAGAGCAAATACAGGCTTCAGACAACACTGTTTCCTTATCTTAATAATTAATGTACACCAAAGAAATGAATTTAATAATTCATCTTAATCTGGATATGGTATCATATGCCTGTAATCCCAGCACCTCAGGAGGCTAAGGCAGAAAGATCATAAATTCAAGTACCCTCTGGGCAACTTAGTAAGACATGGTCTCAAAACAAAAAGGGCTGGGGAAGTAGCCACATGCCTAGCATGCATGAAGCCCTAGGTTTAATCCCCAGAACCATAGGGGGAAAAAAGTGCATCTCTAAGAATTAAAAATGATAACAAAGGGCTGGGATTGTGGCTCAGCGGTGGAATGCTTGCCTAGCATGTGTGGGGCACTGGGATCAATTCTCAACACCACATATAAATAAAATGAATAAAATAAAGGTCCATCAATAACTAAAAAAAAATTAAAAAGAAAAAGAAAATGATAGGAAAGACAATTGCCTGGAAGATAAGGGAGCTTTATTGACAGGCCTAAAACATTTCAATTTATCATAGTGAGGAATTTATAAATAATTTGTAGATTTATTCCATAATTCTGAGACTACTTCTTTGTCATTTATTTTAAAGGCTAAGTCACAAATTCAAAGAGTGACTACTCACCTCTGGAGATTTCGGCGTATTCTTGAATACAGCATAGGAAATAAGTGAACTTGAACCTATAATACTGAGAGACCCAGGAGATGATCATTAAAACTGGTCCTTCACTTTTGCTATTGATTTCTTTTTTCTGATAAAATTGATGAAAATTAAACTGCACTTGTGTTTTAAAAGTATGGAATGTTTCTCGAATTTACATGTCATCCTTGTTTAGGGACTGTGCCAATCTTTTCTATCATTCCAATTTTTTTTAATTGAACATGAACACATTACCTTTGTTTTACTAATTCATTTATTTTGTGTGGTATTGATGATCAAACCCAGTGCCAAATGTGTGCAAGGCAAGTACACTACCACTGAGCCACAACCCCAGCCCCTCATTCCAATTTTTAATATGTGTGCTAACAAAGTGAGCACTTTGCTATTTATTGGTTTTGCAATCACTTCTATTCACCAGGTTGTCCACTGATTTCAGATGTTATCCCTGTATCTGCTTTTCTGTTGTTATTGTTATTGATGTTACATTTTATTAGTCAGAAAATATCAATGGAGTAAGTAAAGAATATAATTTTTCACTAACTAAAGAGCAAATCCCCAGGGAGAAAATGCAGAAACTGCAGAATGCTCCAGTTTTGCTTACCCTAGTTTATATACTCCTACTATATAAGATTAAATAAACATACCTCAGAGTTGCCATAATAAATTGTATCCATTGTATTGCAGAAAAAACCTAAGTAGAAAAGAAAAAAAATTAAGCCTTTTACATTTAATATTCAACCTAACTCCAATTTCACTGTTTATTAGCCACCTCCTCAACACAAATTCTTCTTCAAAGCCTAATCAAAACATACAAGTCTGAAAATGAATAAAAAAGACTGGAGGCTGGAGCTGGGGCTAAGTGGTAGAGCGCTCACCCAGCATTCTTGAGGCACTGACTGGGTTCGATTCTCAACACCACATGAAAAAATAAATAAAACAAAGTTATAAAAATAAACAAATAAAGATGTTGTGTCAATCTACAATGAAAAAAGATTTTTTAAAAAGACTGAAAAGGCTCTAGGAAGAAAGAATTGTTCCATTTTCCCTTATTTCTGCTTCTCTGGGAAAGAGTAAAATAAAATAAAAATACAGAAGTGAGTAGAAAATGACTAAATGAGCTGGGCGTGGTGGTGCTTGCCTGTAACCCCAGTGGCTTGGGAGGCTGAAGCAGGAGGATCCCAAGTTCAAAGCCAGCCTCAGCAATGGTGAGGCTCTAAGCAACTCAGTGAGACCCTTTCTCTAAATGAAATATAAAAAAGGGCCAGGGATACAGCTCAGCGGTCATACGCTCCTGAGTTCAACCCCTGGTTCCAAAAAAAAAAAAGACAATGAAAAATTGAGGGCTGGGATTGTGGCTCAGAGGTAGAGCGATCGCCTAGCATGTATGAGGCACTGGGTTCAATCCTCAGCACCACATAAAAATAAAACAAAGATTTTGTGTCTACCTATAACTAAAAAAATAAAAAAACTGAATGAGAAAACTAATAAAAGAAGAATGAGGGCTAGGGTTGTGGCTCAGCGGTAGAGTGCTTGCCTAATACACGTGAGGCCCTTGATTCCATGCTCAGCACCACATATAAATAAACAAAATAAAGGTATTGTGTTCACCTCTGTTAGGATGGCCTTAGGCCTGAGCCTAAACAACTACATTTTAAAAACTCCAGTTTGACACCTGAAGTTTCACCAGGCCATCCAAAGAACCCTCCAATATGGCCTCAAACAAGTTACTTCCCTTCACCCTGATAAACAAATTGAAGCCCCTGGCAGCCTGTGCTTGCCTGGTAAGAGGGAAAGGCAAGAAGATCAGGGTGGAATCAGATGTTTCTGACCCCAGGGTAAATGATGTCACTGAGAAATCTGGTGGTAGCTGATAAGGACTGAAAGGGGGGTCAAAACCCCCCAAATTTAGTATAAATAATACAACAAATAAACAGCAATTCAGCCAGCTGAAACAAGGATGCACTCAAGCTTGAGAGCCTGATGAGGACCTGACATCCCATCACTTGTCACCATTTCCTGAGCCTCTGCATGATCCTCACCGCTCTCAAACTCTACCACCTCTCTGGACCTTGGTGAGAGCCACAACTTCTCCCTATGACCCTCTCCCTCAACTGATCAACCACTCCACACCAGGAAAAGCCTGCCTTGGTTCCGGACCTGGTGACCACAGTCTGAGTGAGTGTGCATCTGCTGGTCATAAAGCCTAAGGCTTAAGACTTTAGAACTTAGCACACAGAAGGAATGTCTGTCATTAGCCTATCAAGTGTGTTTGATTAAGTGTGTTTGCAGTGCTTAGAATTAATATAGAATTGTTTGCTGTAAATTGATTATGTCTTATTGCAGTGCCTAGCATTAAGAGACTGTCGTTTTCTTGATTAAGAACCTATAGAGTGAAAATGTATTGAGTAATTTGAGTGAATAAAGCATTGAAAGGGGCAGAAGCGCATGGACATTCTTTATTTCTCCCCTAGACATGTGCATAAGTTGTAATTTGCCCCCTCGTGACAACCTACAACTAAAAAAAAAAATAAAAATAAAAAAAAAATAATAAAAAAAAGAATAAAATAGAGAAGAGCTAGAAAAAGTTACATTTTAAAAGAGAAAGGACAGACCTTTAATAAAGAAAAAAAATAAAGTTCACTAAAAGAAAGAATAATAAATGACAGAGAAACAAAGAAAATGGAGACACTGTGAGTGAAAAATACAGAGCAGAAAGGAAAGGGAGGGGTCAAAAAAGACAAGAGGGGCAACTTCTGACCTTACCAAATCCCACTTGTCCTCCAGGGTGCTAACCTCCAGTAACAAGGCCATAAGGACTTTAGTCCCAGCTACTCTTATGCAGTGATCCTTCTCAGTCAGGTTGCAATTCCCAAAGAAATGAACAAAAGCCACACCTCTGTCCCAGCCGGGTTCCTCCTTACCTAGTCATGCACTGTACCTTGAGGGCAGCCAGCAAGGTGACAACAAGTGGAGAAAAGTCAGCCTGAAAGGCCAAAAATAGAAAGAGCAGGTGACAAGGAAACAAAGTTTTAAGAAGCATAAAGAACTGTAGAAGGGGTAAGTGGTAGGAGTTATTATTTATTTTATTAAAAGAAGCAGAATGAATCAGGGTGAAAAGATAAATAGAGCTGTAAGAAGGAAATTAAATAGGAAAAAAAAGAAAAGAAAGAGTAGAAGGGAGGTCTGCTTAAAACTTGCCCATTTATAGACAAGTCTTTGTGAGAAAGAGAAATTGCATAAAGTTTTAGTAATACCTGTGTAAAGTTAGGAAGATAGGAGGTTATTAATGTTTGTCATATTTGATACTAACATCTTAAATATACTAAACCCCAAATTTCCACCAGAAATATAATTGTATTATTACTCTATTCATTGAATGTACTTCATTGATGTTTAAAATATTAATGTCCTACAAAGCAATGTCACAGAAGATACAAAGATAAACAAGAGAAAGACCTAGCCTTCTAGGAGCTTATGATACACTAGGAAAAATGGCTTAAAGATCTAAAACTCAAATGATTTGCATATAGCAATAATATACACAGAATGGCATTTGAACATGGAAGGACCAATAAAATTCTAACAAGCAAAGATTGAGGTAGAGGACACAGGAAAAACACTGATGTAGCCATTTATCTTTAACCATCTTTGTGTATATTCTACAGATGTAAATTTTCTTTCTTTTTCCATTATTTTTTTGGGGAGTTGGGGAATGGTTCTGGGATTCAAATCTAGGGCCTTGTAAATGCTAAGTACATACTCTACCACTGAGATACACCCCTGGGCCCCAAATATTTCTTTTTTTTTATTATTTTGTTTTAGTTGTAGACAGACACAATACCTTTATTTTATTTATTTGTTTTTATGTGGTACTGAGGATTGAACCCAGTGCTTCACACATGCTAGGCAAACACTCTACCAGTTAAGCTATAACCCCAGCCAAATATTTATTAATAACATAAATTAGATCTTTTGTATGGCTGGAGTAATTCAAATATTTATGCATATTAGGTTAAGATTATAGTATAGGGTGCAGTGGCATACACCTGTAATCACAGTGGCTCAAGAGGCTGAAGCAGGAGGATCTGAGTTTAAAGCCAGCTCCAGAAATTTAGTGAGGCCCTCAGCAACTTGGTGAGACCTTATGTCAAAATAAGAAATTAAAATGGGCTGGGGATGTGGCTCCATGGTTGAGTGCCCTTGGGTTTAATTCCTGGTACCAAAAAAAGAAAAAAAAAAAGTATAGTATGGAATGGAAGACTAAACATTGTTAAGTGGAAAGTTTTAATAACTTTGCTTAAATTATTAGATAAACAAATAAACATACTGACTTCTGGACTAGAAATTTCCAGCAAAAGGTCTTAGGGAGTGTTTTAAGGTTTCCAGTCATATATCTATCTAATGAGGGTGAGGAGACTAATGACAGTCTCACCAACCAAGTGATAAGAAAATGATTTTGGACAAAAGACTCTTGTCTCAGTCAAGAACAAATCTCTAATTGTTCAGAGACTAGTTGTGACAAATTAGTCTGCAGTTATTGATGACAATCAATCTCAGAGCATTTTTCTTTTTGGTATCTTATAAAATGTCTATGACACCACTATACCTGGTTTACGTACTTTATTTTTACTGCACTTTAAAATCTATAGGAAAATTGGCTAGATAGTACAGAATATTAGTTCTTTAAATATTTCAAGTTTCCTATCCTAGAATCTTTCTATAGGCTGTTCTCCTTCCTAAATTGATTCATAAAAATCTGAATTTAAAGCTGGATGTGGTTGGCACACACCTGTTACCGAAGCTATTTGAGGCTTAAGGCAGGAGGATCACAAATTTGAGGCCTGCTTGGGCAACTCAGTGAGACTTTGTCTCAAAATAAAATAATATACAATAAACGGCTAGAGGTATAACTCAGTGGGAAAGTACCTAGCAAGTGAAAATCCCTAGTACTAAAAGAAAATAAAATTTAGCAAAAAAATTAAATTCTCCAAAAAATAAAATTTTACAACCTTTTTTCCAATTTTACATTTATTTACATAATTATTTAATGACTTGTCTCTTCACCTGAGTACAAATCCCTAAGGGTTGAATCTAATTTATTGTTTCTCAGCTCAACTTAGACATAATCTTTTGTAGTATTTTCCATGAACTCCAATCCAAATTAATCTTCCTATCACATTCTTTCACATACCCTTCACTTTCCTTTATTATAAATTATTGTAATTTATAATGATATGTCTGTTTGTATGATTATTTTAATGTTGGTGTCCTCTGTTGAACAGTAAGCTCCAAGAGGGCAGGGAGGATATCCTATTTTGCTCACCAGTGTAATCCTTACCCACAAAAGGATATAACACATGAAAGATATTGAGTAAATATTTGTTAAATGTTGAAATAATTCTTAGAGGAGCATAGTAACTGGAGAAAATCAGAATATAAAAAGGGCTGGGAATATGGCTTAGTAGGAATATGGCTTAGTAGTTAAGACCCCTGGGTTCAATCCCTCGTACCACACACACACACACACACACACACACAAAAACACACACACAACAGACTTCACTTCTCAGCATCTTGGGTTACACACTAATCAGTTCCTAGATAAAAAAAAAAAAAAAAAAAAAAAACGAATACAATTACAATTTGTCAACTTGGGCCAAGGTAATCTAGAGTTGTCATGGCAGTGGGTATTGGAAAGTCTGATGTCAGTCAAAATCAAGAGGTAGACCTGAGTGGGACTCGCTGGAAACTTCTCTGTGCAGGAGAGGCACATGGTCCCTCTCCTCTCTGATAGGATCCACTGTCTCCCTTGAGAGTGTCCCTTTTCTCTTTTCCTATCCCTTCACAATAAACTCATGCCTGTTACTCTGAGTGACATGTCTCAAATATTTCTAACTTGATCGCAAGAACTGGTGCTTTACAGGAGGAGTCTTCACACTGCTTCAGTTTTCCAACTCCATGACACTACTACATGAAGCCTTCCTATTTTATTAACATGTATTAATTGTACATATTAATGGGATTCACCATGATACTTCCATACATGCATACAGCATTTAATGATCATATCTAAGCACCCTTCTTCCTCCTTTTCCTCCCTCCCCAACACCTTTCCCAGTCCCTAATAATCACTATTCACTTTAAACAACTTAAGTTCATAGCAGGTTTCTCCTCTTGTAATTTCTATCATTTGTCTTGGTAGCTCATTCTATTTACTACTTCAGTAAGCAAACTCAAAGTAGATTTTTCTGAACTTCTCCTAAACACATATACATATATAATAGATTTTTTCTATCAAAACTTTATATCAAACTTGTATATGTTATCTCTGATAACTATTTTATACACACACATATTTACTGGATAAATACAATAGTTAATTATGGTGCTAAGCTCCTTATAATGCATCATATAATTTATTCTTTTATCCTAAATTTGTTCATCATGGCCTTGTGAATTCTATCCTATGCGCATTTCTTAATTCCATCCTTACTTCTTCAACCCTATTTTTTTTTCCCCTTCTTTTTGGTGCTGGGGATCGAACCCAGGTCCTGGTGTATAATGAGCATTCACTCTACTTCTGAGCTACATCACCAAACCCAAACCTACTGTTAGGCCCTATTTTTAGACCTTATTTGCTCCCTGCTAGACTACTGCAACAGAATTTTAACTGGCCTCCCTACCTGCAACACTTTCTTTCTTTTTAAATCTTTATTTATTTATTTTTAAGCAGCAAAGATGTGTTTATTTTGAGCTAGTTCAGTCCTCCACGCGCACACAGCAACTTGTGACACTGAGAGGCTAATCTTTATTTTTATTTGTTTATTTTTATGTGGTGCTGGGGATCAAACCCAGGGTCTCACATCAAGGCAAGCACTCTACCACTGACCTACAATCCCAGCCCCAGTACTCTCTTTTCAATCCTTTTCCTTTGTTCCTGAGTGATGTTTTTAAAAACAAATCTGACAATACTCTCCAGGTCTTAGCTTCTGGTGGTTCCAAACCACTTTACAATCTGCACCAGTTTATCTTTATACAGATTCATCTAGTTCCCAAACATGTACTGGGCATGCTTTTTTCCCTTTTCTAGAAATATCCTGTTTTTCTTTGTCCCATGAATGCCTCCATGTCTTTTAAGATCCAGCATAGAAGTCATTTCCTGCCTACAACATTCCCACAGTTCTAAGCAGGATTGTAAATTAGGATCTTTAAGATGGACAGTACTCCTATAAATCAGGATCTTTAAGACACAAAGATTAAGAAAAATAAGATTTTAATACTTACACGTTCTGGGGAATACAGCACAGGCCTGGAGACCACATACACCATGGTCAGGAAATATGCAGGGAGAGAGGGTGCCGCGTGGATTAATACCATTTGCGGGGCTAAGGTATCTAAACAGGTTTCCTGTGGAGAGTTTTAATTGGTGAGTTTAAAGCAAGAAGACATCAGTTTCAGGTTACACGTGATCAAAAAATGGTCACTATGCCATATCTGCACAGGGCATAGTGGGTGTGAAGGTGAGCAAGGCCTGACAAGTGGGCTACCTCCAGTTGTCCCCTTGGGAGGCAGACAGCAGAAGACAGAGATATTTGCATCGACCACACTGAGAACTGAGAGGAGGTGTAGAAATGGAAAGTGTCACAAGTGACTGACCTCCGCTTCTGGGACCAGAAAACGACATTCACGTTCAACATGGATGCCCAGATAACATAAAATGATGAGATCTCACTACACTTTCTCACTGTGCTTTCTCAATTATGATAGTCTTCCTTCGTGCCAAGGACCAAGTACTGGTTATATTATGATTCCTCAGCACACAACCCTGTCTCTTCATCTCTGCGCTGAATTCCACGGGCAAAACCAGAACCAGGCATAACTGCAGTGAGAAACTAGATGGACTGCAAAATTTTTCAACCTGGAGCCTAGGACATAGATGGAGAGATATTTGTCAAACAGTAAAGCCTGTTTGACAGGACTCCAGCGCCTGCCAGCCCGGCTCAACCCGACCCAACCCGGCCTGGGTGGACTAGCGCTGATGGTAGCCAGCAGCGCGTCGGCCCAGATAAACAAACGGCTGTCTGACCGCCTGGCCCGCCAACAGGGGAAGGTAGCGGATCCTAACCGACTTCCTGAAGGACCTAAGATAGCAAGATATAATGGCTGGCCTTGTCTTCGAAGGGAAGTTAGGACCGCAAAGAAATTGCGGAAACTTCGTCACGCACGCGCTTCGCGCCTCTGCCTACGCGAAGAGTCGTTCCGTGGCGGACCTCGCAGAGTGCGCGTGCGCGGCGGTCCCAATTTTCCCGCACCTTCTCTCACGTGACTTCACTTTCTAGGGGCCGGCGCAAGCTTCGCCGAGTGCGCGTGCGCGGCGGTCCCCCCTTTTTTTTTTTTTTTTTTTTTTGCTTTTCCCCCCCACAACACGTATCCTCACTAGACTCCGCCCCTCGGACGACCCCTTCCTCTCGCCGTAGGCCGGCGTGACCCGCCCCGAGTGTCCTCTTGCGCGCGCTCGGGCCCGCCCTCCAAGTCACGTGGCTCTGTAGTTTTCCCCACCCAGCTCTTCAACCTCTGACTCTCACAATCCGGCGTTATGGCTGCCGCCGTGCCCTGTGCCGCTTCTCTCTCCCCGCTTCTTCCGTTTCTCCTGAGCCTCCTGCTTCTCTCCACTCCGCACGGCACCAGCGGCCTGCACACTAAAGGCGCCCTTCCCCTGGATACAATCACTTTCTACAAGGTAACGGGGTCGGGGGATTTTGTGCACAGGTGCAGCCAGAGTGCCCAGGGGAGCGCGAGCCGGTGGGGAACGTTGAGCACCGAAGGCTGGCGGAAAGCGGTCTTGTAGCAACGATCCGAGGTCTTCCTACCATGCTATGGCCTGGTGGAGTCTTGGACAGGCTTACCATGACCACGGGCACACACGTCCCGGGGTCCCGGCTGACCCTTGCCTTTGCATCGTTTATATTTGTTTCTGCGTTTGCAAAAGAGCTGCAAAGATGCAGCCGAGGGAACGAGATGCTCCTTTAGGGAGAGAGGACTGTGCCAGGCGAGATCCAACCCTCGAGTCCTAAGTAGGAGATGAGGGCGGGGCGAAGTCGGTGCTACCTGGTTTCCAACTGGGGGTGGGGGTGGTAGGAAGAACTCGGCACTTTAGTATCTGTGCCCCTCCTGAGTATGAATTGTTGGCTTGGCAATATGCAAAGTATGTTCAGATATTACGCCTCTCCCAGAAAAGTGCTGACGTTAAGACTAAGCTACACACTGGAATTGTAGCTCAGTGGGAGAACGCTTGCCTAGTACGTTTGAGGTACTAAGTTCGATCTTCAGCACCACATAAAAATAAATGAAGGCATTGTGTTCATCTACAACGAAAACATAAATAAATAAAAACGAATACGCTACAGTTTAGCCAAACTATAGGAAATATCTCCGGAAGAAAAATGAATAAAATCGGGTCAAAGCATGGAAGAATTTGCCACTACCCCTCCCTGCCACCCTTTAAAAAATGTGGAATCCTGGCCTAGGTAAATGGACCCTGGAAACATTGAAGGCTTAGTGCAACACCACAGTCCCACTCTCCTTCTCCTGTACCTGTCTTTTAACTTCTATGGCAAGCTAAATGTTGAGAGAGAGGCAGTCATCTTATTTTCTTATTTTGTACCCTTGGCAGGGAAGTGAAACCAAGAAATGGAACTCTAAATGTGTCTGTATCAAGTGGTTGAACTTGTCTGTTGTTGTTTTTTTTTTTCCTTCTTCTTTTGTAGTTATGGATGGACAGCATGTTTTTGTTTATTTATTTATTTTTTTTGGCGCTAAGGATCAAACCCAGTGCCCAACAGGTGCCAAGCAACCAGGGGCTCCACCATTGAGCTAAGCCTCAGCCCCTTCTGTTTTCAAAAGGGTTGAGAGGACCTAGAGTGGACTTCACACTTGTAGCTCATTGAAGGCAAAGTTCCAAGAATTTAAAAGCATTTGGTATGGCTGATTGGTTGGTTGTGGGCACCCCACAGCACCTATGCTCTTTGGTCCTTTACTGGCAAAATGATGCACCTACCTCTCCCCACTGCATGGAAGTTAGGTTACATCACAGATCTAGTGTGACTTTGTACCATAGAGCAGCTTTGTACCATAAGGTTAATAGTATCTCCTTATTGAGTGCTGTGCACCTTTACCATTACCACCCTGGTCTAGGCTGTTCTTGGGTACACTTCCTCCTGTCCTCCATGCTTCCACCTTGAGACACCACACTAGGAGATCTGTTCTTGCTGCCCTTTCCTATTTCCTAACAATTTTCCCTGGTCCTCTGTGCTCCAACAGTACAGGCCTGCCTTCTATCCCTTGAATATTCCTAGCTCATCACTGCTTTCATGTATTTGAGGTTTCCCTGTGACTGGAGTAGTTTTTGCCCAATCTTTGAAAGACATGCTCCTTATTGTTTAGGCTTAAATGTTACCTCCTCAGAACCCTTCCTTGATTTCTCCCACCCCCAGGCTTAAGTACCAGTCATATTCTCCTGTTATTGTTTTTCTGAAGTGCACTCATCGATGATTTTGTTCCTTGTCAGTTTTACCATCTGTCTCTCACATCATATTCTTTGTTTCCAATTGTCTGCACAGCATAGCAGGTTATATATTACATAGAAGGTGCTTAATAAATAATTGATTGCATGAATAAATGTTTTCTCCAGTCTCTTTCCAACTCTCACCCTCTTCCATCACCGCTGGATACAGTGGGAATTTCTTAGTGTTTTTTTCCAGCAACCTTGTTCAACATGCTATGCTTTTTAATGATTTCTAACATTTTTGTTCCTTTCTCTTCACCATCACTAGAATGCTAACTTCATTTGATAAAAGACCCACTCCGTTTTGTTCTTTGTAGTGTTCACTTAGAATAGTGCGTAGTTCGTGATGGGCCCTAAGCAACTTTTAATTCAATGAACACAAATGAATGAATAAAGAATTTATCTCTAATTTGAAGAAGCAAGTTGTCTGATTATGGGTACAGCAGAACTGGTCCCCAGAGTTCTAAAGTAATTAACAGATACAGACTGCATATAATAACAAACAATTCTTTATGCAAATATGTGCCATTGAAAACCATTCCATCTTACCTAGTAGCCAAGAATGGTGAAAGTAAAAGTCCTGAATTCTTTTCAATATTAAACCACTATATAATTATTAACGTATTACAAGTTCCTTGAAGATAGGGATTGTATGTCATGCTTTTAACCCCTCCACCCTCCACCCTCCACCCCCCTACCCTGGCCTTGAACATGTAGCATCTGCTATTAAAGTTCTGTTCATTTAACATGTTTTAAAAGCATTTGCTACATGCAGGTATGTGGGATCTTAGGGTCAGGCAAGTTCCTTATTTTCATTAATATACAGTCTACCGGAGAGAACAGAAAACAAGCAAAGAACGATTTTAGAGAATAGTCAATGTATGAAGAAATGCATCAGAGTATCGTAGGAATGAAGCAACCTTAGATGGTTGAGGAGTCCTCTTCATTATTAATGAAGGGACCTTTTGAATTGAACCTTCAATGTAAAGAGACAAGCTGAGCCAGGGAAAGGGCTCCAGCCAGGAAACAGCAAATACAAAGGCTGCAAGAGGGGGCAAGTGTAGTGTGTTGAATGAAACAAGGCCACTTGGACCGGAGGGATGTGATCTGATTTATATTTTAAATCTTCCTTGTCTTTAGGCCCTCAGAGCTCAGACTTTATGGCGTCAGTGGCCACTTAAAGATGACCTGTTCTGGTGGTTTCTCCTCCTTTATGTCCCTAGGCACTGTTAAATATTCTTAAAAACCTAAAGTCAAGTGGACATCAGTACACAGTGAGGGACACAGACAAGCAAAAACATTTGAGTTCTCTGATGCATCTGGAATTTTGTGAACTTGATAGAATTATGAACAGTGATTTCCTGTGATAAAATCTTGAGAATAGAGATCACTGAATTAGAAAAGCAAAGGGGTGTGAGAGGAGGGGAAGGCAACATTACTGACCAAAGTCAGCTTATTTATTGGTACATTGGAAGAAACCATCAAAAGGAAGCCCTTGGCTTAACTATATGACCTCTACAGTTCCACTTCTAGGTGAATCCAAAAGAATTTAATAATAGGTGTTCAAACAAAAACATGTACACATCTTCAGACCATTCACAGTAATATCCAAAAGGTAGAAACAACCCAAACATCCTTCAAAGAATAGTTTATTTGGCCAGAAATATGAATAAAGCACTGATCACATGCTACCACATGGAAAACCATAAGAACATTATGCTGAGGCAAGTAAGTCAGACATAAGAGACTATGAATTTTATTATTCCATCAAATTAGACAAATCCAAGGAGACAGCTGGAAGAAGATGGGGAGGGACATCTTAATGGATACAGGGTTTCCTTTGCGGGTGATGAAAATGTTCTGGAACTAGGTAGTCATGGTGGTTACATAATATTATTAGTACACTAAGTCCCACTGGATTGTACACTTTAAAATGATGAGTTTTATTTGCTTTTAAAATTAAAATCTTGTTCTTCACAGTTTAAGAACCAGAGATCTAGCCAAAGCATCCTTTGTGGTGTCAACTCCTTTTTAGATTTTTTTTGGGGGGGGGGTCAGATTTCTGGTTCAGTGTTAAGAAAGGCTTCCTCAGATGATGGGCATGATGGGATATGATGATGAATTGCATGCTAAGGGTCTCTTTGGCCTACTGAAAGGAACACTGGAGGGGGGAGGCTTAGCTTTATTCTAGATTGAGTCATATGTTTCTCTTATTAATGTGAACACATACCTAATGAGATGCCCAGTACATAGCAGGCATGTTTAATGAATGTTGAGGGCAATAAACAAACATTACATTGTTAAGAGCTGGTATTGGTATCCTTTGTGGGCTTGTTTCCACTATTTTTTAAACAGGGGCCCCTTGGGAAGGGGAATTCACCCCAAATGTCCCTGGAACACCCCACTTGCTCAGCTCTATGCGCCCTCAGGTCATTCCCAAAAGCAAGTTTGTCTTGGTGAAGTTCGACACCCAGTACCCCTACGGTGAGAAGCAGGATGAGTTCAAGCGTCTGGCTGAAAACTCGGCTTCCAGCGATGATCTCTTGGTGGCAGAGGTGGGGATCTCAGGTATGTACAAGTCCAAGACAACTAGGAAGGGCTAAGGGGGAGGAAGTTAGCTATTATTACCCTATTTGGAGGGGGAATACTTGGTGCCTTTTTATCTAAACTACACACAAAGGATAAATGGGTTTTATTCTTGAGGAATCTGATACTCATAGCAAGCTTGGTCTAAGATGATTTCTGGAACCTGGGAACCACATGTCAGTTTTGAAGTTGCCTGAAGAGAAGGGACCCTTCACCCATCTGACATTCCACTTTGAGAACTTTGAGCTTTCCTTGCAGGGAGTGGTCAGGGGTTCCATGCCTTCTAGGGGACAGCATGGTCAGATCTTTTCTGCCTTCATTTAATCTTTTTACCAAAGCTGGTGCCACCACTAATCCAAGGGTAACTCTTAACCACAGTGTCAACATAATAATAATACTTCGCCAGTGTTTATTGGTTTGCGGCCTGTAAAAGTCTACACAGACATTAAAGTTTTAAGCTCCACTTGAGTCCTGCTTGAAAAGCAAGAGGTACCGTCTCCATATTATACTTAAAAAAACCAAAGCTCAGAGCTTACATGACTTTCTAGGCGATGGAGTATGGAGTGGCTGAGCCAGAATTCCACCTAAGTACCTAAGTATTTGGCTTAAGTACATCTAAGTGCAGCATACTCTGAGCTAGGATGACTCCATTCCCCAGTGAACTGGGAATTTGATGTCAGCAGAGAGAGCTGGCTCACCTGTCCTGAGGAGTCAGTCAGTTTTGAATCCACTTCAAATGAGTTCCCTTGGGGTTTTTTGAATAATAGCATTGACAATGACTTGCATTCATCATGTTTTTCAGACCACTGTGCTAAAGGTTTTACATGTATTTTACCCTTGTGACTTGTGGTACTATTACCCCCAATTTTTCAAGTTAAATTGATGCTCAGGGAACCTCACTCAACTAAATAGAGCTGTTAACTAGGATTGGCACTCCAGGCTGTTAACCCAGAAATAGTTGGTCTCAGCCATTTCTTCTTGCCAAGGGTCAAAAATCTGTTGTCACAATCAGCCCTTGGGACTACTACTACTTTTTAGTAGCTGCTGGCAGCTACTGCAGAGTAAGCACTGAACTCTGATTGGATCTCATATACATAGTGCCTCATTGAACCTCCCAGCAGCCCTCATGTAGCAGGGACTGCTTTCATCACCTACCACACACACACCTCTTTCTCGCTCAACTCCAGCCAACCTGACCTTGATAATTTTTTTTTCTTAACAGTACTGGGGCTGGGCATGGAACTCAGGATCTTGCACATACTAGACAAGTGTGCTACCCACTTGGCTACACCCAAGTCCTTGGCCTTAAATATTCTCAGCTCAGTCCTGGCACAGAGCTTTTGTCTTGTGCCGAGTTCTTGAACTTGAGGTACTTTCTTCCTGAAGCACTCTTCCCAGATATTTATGTGGCTGGCTCCATGCCACTTAGGCCCCTCAGCTTATGTCATCTCCACAGGGTAGTCTTCACTGACAACCTGAAGTGGGCTTTCTTACCCACTCTGTCATATCACACTGTTTATTTTCATCAATGGAACTAATCATTTATGTTCACTTGTATACTATTGTCCTTCTTGCCAGGTGTGGTGACACACACCTATAATCCCAGCAATATAGGAGGCTGAGACAGGAAAATGGCAAGTTTGAGGCCAGCATCAACAAGCAAGGCCCTAAACAACTTAGCAAGACCCTGTCTCAGAGTAAAATAGGACTGTAGCTCAGTGGTTAAGCACACCTGGGCTCAAATCCCAGTAACAACCCATTCCCACCCCCAGAAAAAATTAAAGCCCCTTGAAGTCCGAGAACTTGATACTGTGAATCACAATTAGGTTCTTAGCACCTCAAACAGCATCACGTAGTAGACACGAAGAATTTTTACTTTTCACATGAAGACAGTTCAGAGCAATTAAATGATTTGACAGTAGCCACGTGGCTAGGAAATGGCAGAGGAAGAATTCAAATCAAGGTCAATATAGATAAACCTCACTTTGAACCATTACATAGCCAAGATGATGATTCTTCTCCACTCAGGCCCTGTAGTGATATCCTGCACTGAGTTGTTGTCTTATTCATCTCTGGTTTCTGTTCACAGATTATGGTGACAAGCTGAACATGGAACTGGGTGAGAAATACAAGCTGGACAAAGAGAACTACCCAGTCTTCTTCCTCTTTCGAGATGGGGACTTTGAGCACCCAGTCCCATATAGTGGGGTAGTGAAGGTTGGAGCCATCCAGCGCTGGCTAAAGGGACAAGGAGTCTACCTGGGTATGCCTGGCTGCCTGCCTGTGTATGACGCCCTGGCAGGGGAATTCATCAGGGCCTCTAGTGTAGAGGCCCGTAAGGCCCTCTTGAAGCAGGGGCAGGACAACCTCTTGAGTGTGAAGGAGACTGAAAAGAAGTGGGCCGAGCAGTATCTGAAGGTCATGGGGAAGGTCTTAGATCAAGGTGAGGACTTCCCAGCATCAGAGATGACCCGGATCACCAAGCTGATTGAGAAGAACAAGATGAGTGATGGGAAGAAGGAGGAGCTCCAGAAGAGCTTAAACATCCTGACCGCCTTCCAGAAGAAGGAGTTTGAGAAGGAGGAGCTGTGAAAAGGCACTGGGGTTTCCAGGGATTGCTGGGGGTGGGAAGGGGAGAATTACCCTCTGGCCATGAAACCCTTGTAAAGAGGGTGTTGGAAATCTGAGCCCTGACTATGCCTAGACATGGATGCTGATGTGCCCATGCTTGGGAAGTCTCTAGAGCCAGCCTGGGGATAGCTGGAACGTTTACTTGGCTAATGAAGTGCCCACTCAGAAGGAACTGGTGCTATAAAGGAGGTACTGCCCAGGTCCTTGACAAGTGTAATTCTGGCCCAATTAAAATTCAGTGTTTTGATTAAGTGGACCTGAAGCCATTCAGTTTGTTTTTTCACATTACATTCTGGTCTGTAACTTGCTTGCTTCTGCTTCTCAACTCTTTTTTGAATCTAAGCTGATATGGACTCCACTCTACCAGGGAAACAGATTATCCTGATAAAACTGATCCCAGCTTAAGGTAAAAGCTTTATTTTTCACTGATGTCCAGGCTATTATGAATTAACTGGATAATGAAATGTGTCACCCATGTTCTTAGTCCTTAAAACTCAACAGTAGCACCATTTAATCAACATTGAACAGTGATGCTCTGTGAGATGTATAGCAAATTCTTAATTTTATTGACAGTGTTTTTAGTTTAGAAAACAAAATGATAGAATTTAGTCCTGTTTGAAAGTTTTAAAAATTGTTTTCATGCTCAGTCACTTTGTCAGTTACTCAGTAAATACCAACTTTTAGAGTAAGTACACAAATGACAATGAAGACTATAAAACCCAAAAGCATCCCCAAATGTGGCCTAATCTTGATTGTTAGTATGCCACTGGGTGGGTTCAGGCTAGCTATTTATAAAGCCAGAGTGAACTAGATAACCATATATCAGAGGGCTTTTGTACTTAGCATCTAATAAATTAATATTATGACTGAAGGCTACACAAAGTGGCTTCCTAGAATCAAACTGTGTGCAATTTTAAGGGAATTTCTTGATAATCTGAAGCAGACACTATATCCAACTTGAAGAATTTTGTTTTAAGAAACTTGTAAATTTCCTAAATGGTGCCAAAATGATTTTAATTTTAAAATAGTTCTTGGTAATTGATGCCACAAAAAGTACTGGTGTGATCACATTAGGAGAGATTATTCATACAGAACTAAGAAACTGGGAATTTGTGGCCATCAAGAATAAGAATGAGGGCTGGGATTGTGGCTCAAGCGGTAGCGCGCTCGCCTGGCATGCGTGCGGCCCGGGTTCGATCCTCAGCACCACATACCAACAAAGATGTCGTGTCTGCCGAGAACTAAAAAATTAATATTAACAATTCTCTCTCCTCTCTCTCTCAAAAAAAGAATAAGAATGAGATGGTGTGGAGAATAGCTTTTAGCTTATTTATTGGGGACCCATGTTTCCTGGGCTATAATGTGGACACTGTAGGTTGCAGAAAAGCTCTGTCCCTCAAGCAAACTGCAGTAGGAACTCCACAATCTGTATGAACTTTCGACTCATAGTAGCTTAATCTTAACCCTGCAATCTTAACTGAAATTTGTACCTGCATTAAGGCTATAGCATCCAAAAACAAGGGGAATAATAAAAAAATATAAATCCAAGCCAAACTTTTAGGAAAAGCAAAGGATGGCAGTTAGGTACAGGCACATACCTGCTTTTAGTTAAAGGAAAAGAGAACACTGGTAGGGAGTTAAGTTATAACAAAAAACAGGCCCAAACTGATCCTTCAGAGATACATAAAATGATTTTTCTGTCACAGAACAGAAAGAAAACTCAGGAAAAATAGCTAGTCAATCTGCCCAAATAAAATTTGAATTTCAGTGTCTGGATTCAAGTACCCTTGGGTCATCAACCTGCCTGAAATTCTCCAGTAACCTTCCATTACATTTATTCTAAGTTTAAGTCCTTCCCCTGGCTTTAGGTCCTGACTGATCTGGTCTAGCACTCTATCCAAATGCTGACCCCTTTCCACTCCTTTCACTAAGTTGCTGGAACATGCTAAGCAGTTCCCTTCCTTGGGGCCTTTCCAACTGTGTTCCTTTTTCTGACTGACAAACATTCACCATTCACGACCAGTGTTACAGAGATCCTCTCATGACTCAATCCGAAGTGACTCAACACTATCACATACCCTGATTTATATTAAACAGGACTTTGCTACACAACTACTTATGGCCTTTCCCCACACCAACAACTAATAAGTAGGATAGAGAGTTTCATTTTCCCTTAAATAAGCAGAGCCTGAAAGTTATGAATCTTGATGCATTGTAAGTATTCAGTAATCAAGTATGGAAGGTACTGCTTTTAAGCCAAAAGAAATGGTGGCCTTAGGAAAAAAAAATAATTTTCAAATAATAAAATTTTGCTGGGTATATAGCTCTTTAATACAAAATTGAGATGAGTTATACCATTTAGAAGATGGTAGCTTCTAAGAACCTGAACAAAAATGAACCAGGCAGAAATGCCAACTTAAAATTTTATATAAATTAACCCATCGAGTTTAGATTTGCTATGTTTCACTTAATTCTCAATAAGGAAGAATATGGACTTCCCATATTAATAAATCACATCAAATAAGCAGGAAGAGTTTCAATAACAAGCCTATAGATACACTGAAACCCCCCTTTATATTAAAAGTTAAAATGAAAGACAAATCCAGATTGAACATAGTGATTGCAAAATATAATGCAATTTTGAACAATTAAAATTATGAAAATATACAAAATTGATGGGCAACACAACTAGGCATTTGTTTTCTATTATGTAGAGAACACTAAAAATTTCTCTACCTTTTATCCATCAAGTAAATGACTTAAACCAAATGTTTACTTTGCAGAGTCTTTAACTCAGGATCTCAGTAGTATAAAAGGCAATAATTTTTTAGTCTGTAAACAGTAGTCGTTTTTTTTTCCTCCTTTCCTTTTTTTTAATATCAATTTACCACAGAAAAACTAAACAAAAAAACCATATAAACCAAAACAGCAGCAGCAGCGGGTTATTTGGGAAATCTCTTCAAATATCAATGACATACAATTGCTGGGAGAGGGTGCTTTTTACTCATGTAAATATATATATATATATGTGACACACATATATACGTATGTGTGTATTTTATATATATATTAAACTGTACACAATTTATAGTGCACGACAGTTTCCAAAGGAACAGATTGATAAAAGATATTGGCCATTTCTGCATAATTTCATTCTTTTTACACTAATCTCAAAATGTTAGAGTTGAATCTAATTGAAATGCTACATTTAGTATAGGAAAATCAGCAAGTAACAAAGGAAGCATAACTTCAAGGTAACATTATTTGTCAGTAAAACCAGTAGAGGTCCCAGATACTCCAAGGCAGGAGACCAGTTAGGCAGACCATTAGAGTCATTGCAGTCCTTGACTAAGGCCAGCCCATTAAGCATACATATAATAGACTGATCAATAGACTTGTATCAAAGAGCATTTCTATTTCTTTGTACAGTACTTTTTTGGATATGCAAAGAAACATCATTCCAAGAACATAGCCATACTCACACCCTCCCAAATACACACAGTTCCATCTAAAATAGGCCATAGTTATATGAACTAATGACACGTTATCATTAAAGGATATTCAGAATCAATCGGGGTTGTTCAGTTCATCTTGTTCAGGAGGACAGTTATTCCCTTTAGGATGGGGTATGTGACAGTTGTGGCTACTAAATTTATATAAAATATGATGTTTTGAAATTACTTTGTGGACTAGGTTTTCCAACAAGTCTTATTTTGAACAGGTAATAAAATTTTTAAACAGTTATTAATTACCATATCAAATTGTCAATAAGAAAGTCAAGGAGGGACAAAATGCAAACTTTGCATACATAGATTTTCCCAGCGCTCTTGGTTGCTTTTAAAAAAGTATCACATTTCACTGGAGCAGTGCATAGGAAAGGACCTTGAAAAGGTCTTTAAGACCAATCCTCCATCAGATGTTGGAATTTCCTCATCAAATTCATTTCTTTGCCCTTACAAAATTACTAACTTTAAAACAGAAAAACAGAAGCAGGAATTCAAACACCAAAAAAAAAAAAAAAAAAGAAAAGAAAAAAAATCAAAGAAAGTGTAAAAATTATATAACATTTTCAAGAGCAATTTTTATCTTTTCTTCAAGACCAACCTCTGAAGCTACAGTCTTGGGGACAAGACCTCCAGGTGAACAAGGTAAATACAATCCTGGTACAATTCTTAAGTTTCAAGAAAGTAGACTGAACATTAAACCCACTGGGTAACATTTCTTTTGCCAGCCTAAAACTTAAAACCTAGTTTAAATCCATAATATATATTCCTTCTTCACCAACCCCCCCACTTGAAAACACTAAAATAGTAATTAATTTTCAAGCATATATATACACATATGATTCATGAATCGACTGCAGTATATAACTCACAAAACTGATGAAATAAGTATCAGTATTGCCTGCATAAATTATGTACACCTCTCTTGAAAACAGTGATTCCCAAACTTCCCAAATGGATGAAAGACAGCAAGCTAGCCCTTAACAGGCTTGTTAAATGGTCTGTACTACTTTCCTCTCTAAACACCTACAAATTAATAAGGTCTTCCTTGTCTCTCTATCTGAGATTTAACTTTCACAGGAACGTGGATGGGGCTATCTTGGCTATCAGAATTATTAGGCCAAAAAAAAAAAAATCAGCACCTGTGGTCATCTGAGTAGTGCCCTTCAGGGCAAGTGATTATGCTAAATCTCGCCTGAGGTCTGCTGTGGACCTGCCTTGGGTTTGAGGAAGCCTCAAAATGCACCTGCTGCAGTGGAAAAGGGCCTGCTCCTGGTCATATCCCCCTCAACTTCTCTTTTCTGCTTCCTATGGCTCAAGAACAAACTAAACTCCCACTGCTGTAATGGGAGGGCCATCCAGCTGCTTTGAGGTCAATGCTTTATGTTTAATTTCTATTGCTGCTTTTGAATAGAAACCCTTTCCCCTCCCAGATGTTTCTGGTGATGGGAGGGGAAAAAAGTAAGGGGTTCTCTTGTTGCTGCCATATGCATATGAACATTTATAAAAAGTGGTCAAACCCAGATGAGGGTCCTACTTCTGTTTTATATACAATAATTTAGTCAGCTGTATGTATTTAATACCTAAAAAAATTAATTCACAATCAAAGTCCTTCATGCATTTTATGAGGAAGTTCTGGATTAAAATGATGATCAACCAGATGTTGCTTTTGCCTGGGAAGATAGTATCGTCATTTTCTGTTGTAGAGTCATCAGTGCCTGTGGTCCACACTTCCTTAAATTTTTAGTTTCTTTGTGGTCTCAAGTCTTTTTTTCAGCAGATCCCCCATTTCCAGAAGTGAGTGTAGGTAACTGCTCTGCACTTTCCCTTGCACAGTCTTTGAAAATTTTCTTTCTTCCTACAAAGAAAGAGAAAACTAAGTGGTTTTGCTCAAAAATGATTCTCCTAGATTAGAGTTACTCAGATAAAAGTTAAAACTACCATTACCTCAATGCAAGCTCCATCAGAACGGAGTGAGTCATTTTCAGTATCAAAATGCACAGGCTAAAAGCTAATCACAGGTATTTTTCAATGTGGTTTTTCACTAAGACCCTGTTGCTTCAGAAAAGCATTCTATCCAGCACCTCTGTTACAAGTTATATAAAGTAGGAAAGCAAATTGAAAGATGAAAAGCTAGGTGGGGACTGGGGTTATGGCTCAGTGGTAGAGCACTTGGCTAGCATGTGTGAGGCCCTGGGTTTGAGTCTCAGCACTACATAAGAATAAATACATAAAGGTCCATTTACAACTAAAATAAAATACATATTTTTAAAAATTCAAACACCAAAAACAGTTATCAAAGAAAGTGTAAAAATTGTATAACATTTTCAAGAGCAATTTTTATCTTTTCTTCAAGAGCAACCTCTGAAGCTACACTCTTGGGGATAAGACCTCCAGGTGAACAACCATCTTAAAAAAAAAAAAAAAGCAGCCGTCTTTAAAAAAAAGGTGGTAAATGATTACTAAGTAGTTTGCACATAAAATTATTACTATTTTGTTATTAGCTACACAAAGTGTAAAATTAGAGATGTCTGATTTTTTTGTTTTACCTCAAAATAGACATCATCATAGCCACTACTGAAGGGTCTCAGCTTTACCAACTCTTATCTTTTCCAGTTACAATACTAACAAGTCTCCCTCTACACTGACAGAGTCTGTAAGTACAAGACACCAAATGATAAAAGACAGAGGTTTCTTAGGCTTTCTGAAATGTACGAGTTAAATAATTGCTGCCACATATTTACTGTGGTAGAGACCACCACCAAAAAAAAAAAAAAAAGGGAAGGAGTATTCACAAATAGAAATGAAGATGGCTGAGGACTGGGTATGTTTAAATAAAGTTGGCAGAGTTGCAAAGCCCAGGACTATAGAAGAAAGCAGGCAACATTTTTTGACCCATTAATACTGCAATTTAAGATCTCATCTAGGGGCTGGGGTTGTGGCTTAGTGGTAGACTACTTGCCTAGCACACATGAGGCACTGGGTTCAATCCTCAGTACCCATAAAAGATTTGATTTTCATTTAGTATATATGTAAAAGCAAATAAATTCGGTCCTACATATTCATGGGTTCTGCACCCACTTATTCAACCAACTGCATATCCAAACTATTCAGAGAAAAAAAATTCAGTCTGTATATATAGAACATGCTGAGGCGTTTTTCTTGTCACTAATATCCAAACAGTATAACAACTGTTTACATATAGCATGTATATTATATTAAGTATGTAAATAATCTGGAGATAATTTAAAACATTCAGGAAGATGTGTTAGGTTCGATGCAAATACTACACAATTTTCTATAAGGGCCTTAAACCCCCATGGAATTTGAGTATCCTCAGTGTATGTGTGCATTCATGCATGTATTCCGGGGGGAAAAAATCCCCCATGGATACTGAGGAGTGGCTGTATAAAGAAACATCCTGCTGGGTGCAATGATGTAGCTATATCCCAGTTTCTTGGGAGGCTGAAGCAGGAAGATCTCAAGTTTGAAGCCAGCTTGGGCAACTTAGCCAGATCCTGTCTCAAAATAAAAAATAAAAAGGGCTGGGGATGTAACTCAATAGTAGGTAGAGTATCTCTGGATTTACTGTGGTAGAGACCACCACCAATCCAAGCCGTAAACTTACAATCCTCCTGCCTCAGCATCCAAGTTGCTGAGACTGAGTTGCTGTGATTGCGCCTTGACCTGAACAGATTCTGCAGTCAAGCAGCAGAACAGAGTGAATACTTTCTCTGTTTTACTGGGAATTGAATCCAGGGGCACTCAAACACTGAGCCACATCCACAGCCCTATTTTATATTTTATTTAGAGACAGGGACTCACTGAGTTGCTTAGCGCCTCGCTGTTGCTGAACTCATGATCCTCCTGTCTCAGCCTTCCAAGCTGCTGGGATTATAGGTGTGTGCCACCCCGCACTTTTTAAAAAGTACAAAATACAGTAATACCGTATTGTTTTCTCAATGACTATAAATATACACAAAAAAGATGTTGATATATGACTTACAGGTCTAGTCCAGAGACCTTATAATGCTGGATTTCAACTTTAGAAAAAAAGGAAGCAAATGAAAAAGAAGCGAACCTAATGGAAACTGAATTGAAGAGGGTTATTCATTTTTTTTTTTGTTTTAAATACCTTTATTCATTTATTTTTATGTGGTGCTGATGATCCAACCCAGTGCCTCACATGTGCTAATCAAGCACTCCACTACTGAGCTCTAGTCCCAGCCACTATTGTTGTTTTTTAACACAAAAGACTACTCAGCACTATGTGGAAACAATTTGGTAGTTGATATTGCTTACTGTACTGTATATATCATGACATTAATAAAGGCTAATTACTGCTTTGTTTAATCCTCACCATAATCCTATGAAATAGGTGTTATCATCATCTTCATTTACAGATAAAGAAATTGATGCCCAGATAGAGTAACTAACTTTTCCAAGGTTATACTGCAAAGCTAAGGACAACTTCTAGAACACTGAAATTGAGTCCTCATTTAAGAAGGCAGATAACAACTCAGTGGTCATAAATCAGCAGGGCTACTACTATGTCTGTCACCATGCAATTAACAGTCCTTCCCACATGCCATATTCTATGCCCCTGCCAACTGACTCACAGTGTCAAATATATTTCATTTTCCACCTCTGTGCCTTTGCCTGGGATGGCTTTCCTCCATTTCCATGTGCCTGGTGAAAATTAATCACTCTTCACAAAAGTACCCACTCCAATAAGATTGTCTCACTCATTCATTTCATTGTGAACAAGACTGCTTTCTCTAATCAGTCTTTGGTATGTCAAAAGCTCTGTGCTCCTTCCCACAGTAAGCACAACGTTCAAAGCTCTAACATGTTTAAACTTTACAAAAGAGAAGCTTATACTCTTTTAAGGTTGGTATACCAAGCAACATTCCATTTATTCTCTCCCCTAGGAAGGTCTGGGTGGGTGTCTGAAACTAGGCCGACAGTCATCCTCAGATTACTGGATGAGTTCCCTCATCAGCAAAGATTTAAGTCAGACACCTACTAGATGAAAACATTATCTTAGATCAGAATTTCATTGTTAGAGCAGCTGACTAGAAACAGATTGCTTTATAACTGCCCTTCTGGTTCTTACCAAAATTCTAAGCTGACTCCAGGTGAGTGAATTAACATTGACCAGAAAGAATCCATATATTTTATTAAATAAATCCCTATTTTAGAGGCTGAAGGTGCATGCATTTCGGTGGTAGACCAATTGCCTATTGTGTGTGAGGCCCTGGGTTTAATCCCCGCACAAGGGGAGGAGAGAGGAGACCCATATTTTAAAGGCAAAACATTACAAGCATTTTGCTAACAACTAGGAGAATTTTAAGAAACGATCCCAAAATAATATCAGGAGACATCTAATGGTTGTGAACAATGATTCATACTTGGTTCCATTCATTCCGTTTTTGGCTAGCTTATTCTAGCCTAATGATCAAGTAACATAATTATTTCTGATGTCTAGCATCTCTTTCTTCAGGTGATAATTATTAGGGTGGCAAGGAAGGCAGCCTACTCAACAGCATGTAAATTTTATGGAGATTGTTCTTGAATCTTAAGAGTATATCTAATTCCATCTGGTACTCAAAATAGGAAACAATTTATAATGCTAGCATTAGTTTTAATAGTGAAAGCATAACCCCCAAAATATAAAAGGGGTGGGGAATCCCACAACCAACACAACAATAGGAAACTTCTGCCAAAGCACTTTCATTCACAAGTCTTTTTTTTTTTTAATGCTTTCTGGGTTTTGTTTTGGGTTTGGTGGTTGTTGGTTGGTTTTGTTTTGGGATACAGGATATCAAGCCTACAAGTGTTGTATTTCTAAACTATATCCTCAGTATTTTTTGTTTTGGTACAGGGTCTCACTAGGTTGCCCAGGATAGCCTGAGCTTGAGATACTTCTGCTTCAGCCTCTGCAGTAGCTGTAATTACAAGCATATACCGCCACACCCAGCTAGTCTTATAAGAAGAAAATGATGGACTGAAAATTGATTTGTACTTTTGATAAAGATAACATTTGAAAATATATATTAAAAACAAAACAAAACATTGCTGAGTGTCTATAATCTCTTACCGGAGAGAAAGAAGTGTCCTCTAAAATAAGTTCTTCAAGCTTAAGTGCAATTAGATGTGTTTCAAGTCCCTTAATATGATCCACAGCATTAGAAATTAAAGTCTGAAGTCCAGAAACATAGTCTTGGAAACTGGTGAAGACAGGTGGCTGGGAACAGGATTTGAAACATTTTTTAAAAGATGAAATACTATCAAACGCATTCCCAATGCTTACAACATGTAGGTATGCTGATTGCATGCTATACCATGACAGGAATGGAGATATATATATATATATATATATACACACATACATACATACATCACCAAACAATATAACTGCAAACTCAAAAAAGGAAAACTTAAGCATTTGCTAAAGTGAGGTTTTATTATATTCTGGAGAATCAGAGAGAAGAGAATCCACTAGAAAATATATTACTTCATCATTCAACATACAGCCAGCCAGGAAACTCTACCACCTCTCTTCATTTTAAGATTTCCAATAATGTTAATGGAGAACAGAAACATAATAATCTAAGTTTGAATAGAAAAAGTAAAAGATAGCAACAAACAAGAAAATTTAGAAAAAAGAACAGAGAAGGGGAACAGTGTCCTAACAGATATTAGATACATTTTGAAGTTATACTGAAGCCAGGCGGAGGGGTGTTGTAAGTAAATTGTATTCATGAACAACTCTTTATAAGTAAATTGACAAAGTGCTGGGGGTGCAACTACATGGTAGAGCCCCTGCTTACTATGCACAAAATTCTGAGTCTCATCCCCCATACCATAGGGGTGAAAAATGAGCAGAATGAAAGAAAAGAAAAAAGGCCCAAGATAAACTGAAAGACATGAGGGAAATTAAATGACAGTCAATAAATCTCAAAAAGAAAAAAAGAAACCTCCAAGAAAATACCAAAAGATAATTTGGCTAACAAATTTTGAAAAGCCTTTCTAAACATGTTGTCAAACTAGAAAACATTCAAGATATTATTTAAAAATACTACTTTAATTAAAAACAAAACAACAGAAAAGGCTGGGTGCATGTAGAATGCTTGTAATCCCAGCAACTCAGGAGACGGAGACAGGAGGATCACAGGTTCAAAGCCAGCCTCAGCAATGGTAAGGCACTAAACAACTCAGTGAGACCTTGTCTCTAAATAAAATACAAAATAAGGCTGGGGATATGGCTCAGTGGTTAAAAGTCCCTGAGTTCAATCCCAATACCCCAAAGGGAAAAAAAAAAATCATTCATTAAAAAACAGATGAGGGGGCTGGGTATGTATGTGGCTCAAGTGGTAACTCGCTTGCCTGGCATGCATGGGGTGCTGGGTTCCATCCTTCGCACCACATAAAAATAAAGATGTTGTGTCCACCGAAAACTGAAAAAATAAATATTAAAAAAAATTCTCTCTTTAAAAAAAAAACAACAAAAAACAGATGAGGGCTGGGGTCATGGCTCAGGGGTAGATCGCTCACCTAGCATGTGCAAGGCACTGGGTTTGATCCTCAGCACCACACGAAAATAAATAAATAAAATAAAGGTTAAAAAAAAAAAGAATGCTTTAAAAAAAATGACAATTTAAGAAAAAATTGCTTCATTGGGCTGGGGTCGTGGCTCAGTGGTAGAGTACTTGCCTAGCATGTGGAAGGCACAGTGTTCGATTCTCAGCACTGCATATAAATAAAGATCCATTGAAAACTAAAAAAATTTTTAAATTGCTTCGTTTATAATGAGGATTAATAACATTATTAAGAAACCAACAGAGCAAAACTTATCAATAGGCCAGGAGCAGTGGGATAGCAGTAGGATAACAAGTTCAAGGATAGCCTGGGAACTTATCGGAGGCCGTGTCTCAAAACAAAAAATAAAAAGGTTGGGTATTTAGTTTAGTGATAAAGCATCCCTAACTTTAATTTTTAGTCGGGTATTAGGGAAGTGGGGAAGTATAGACATAAGAAAAATACTTCTACGAGAGGAAACTTGAACGAAGAACAGATCATATATTATCTAGCAAGGTGTGGTGATACACACCTGTAGTAGTAGCAACTCAAGAGGTTGAGACACGATGACTGCAAGTTCAAGGCTAGCCTCAGTAACTTAGCAAGGCCCTAAGCAACTCAGTGAAACCCAGTCTCAAAATTAAAAATAAAGAGAGCTAGGGATGTTACTCAGTGGCAAAATGTCCCTGGATTCAATCCATAATAGCAACAAAAGAAATATCAGAAAACTTTAATTTTAAAACACATATAAACATATAAACACACACACACATAAACACATATATGTCATATAAACATGAGATCCCGGTGGCTCATGCTTTTCACTCAAGAAATAGTCTAAGACATACACAGTGACATGTGTCTATAATCCCAGCAATTTGGGAAGCTGACGCAGGAAGATTGCTTAAATCCATAAATTCAAGATCAGCCTGAGCAAGTGACCAGCTAGTAAGATTCTTTTAAAAAAGAAGGAAAAAAAAAAAGAGAAAATGAAAACTTTTAAGATCCTAATGACTCTTAAAATATGCAAGAAAACTTTTGAAAAGAAAAAACAGCCTGTAGCTAGATTGTTATTTGTGTTTTTCTGTTATTACCATGATGATACTGGTTTCTTTTTTCTTCTTTTTCTTTTTCTGTAAACTTAATTTGTATGGTCGCAAGACACTCTCGCAGTAACTGGACACCCAAAGGATAACAGAAATAGTCTGAAAGTGGAAAATGTGCAAAATAATCAATTAAGATTACAATCCCATCAGGAAGTTAAAGGCAATGAATTGAAAAAGAAATTCTAACTGGAAGTTCTGTGCAAATCCTTTTTTTTGTGGGGGAGGGTTACTGGGGATGCAACGAGGGGCTCATACATGTTAGGTAAGTGCTATACCTCTGAGCTACATTCCTATGCAATTCCTTTCAATTTCTCCCCTGAATTTATTTTCACTCTCACATCTTTATTTGTTCTTCCTTTGGGGGCAAAAGGCAGTCTGGGGAGAAACTGGGGATAAAATCCAGGCTTTTATGCAGCACCAGTCTTTCATTTCTACAGTCACATGTTGATTCAGCACTTTTTCTTCTGCTCAGAATACCACAATACCCTACCTACCTTTTTATTATTTCTTCTGGCTCTCCCAGCTAACTCCACATCCTCCACTCCATTCTGTTTCTTTCACATCTCTGTATAATTAGGGATCTATTAACATCCTTTTTGCTTAGTCCAAATTCCTAGGCACTGAATCAAAAGATTCTTTACAATATGGCTCTCCCCACATGCTTTGCCAGACAGGTAAGATACTATTTCACTTGCAAATTTTGACTGAATTTATATGGAGATGGGCATGATAGCACACACCTAGAATCCCAGCCCCTTGGGAGGCTGAGACAGGTGGACAGCAAATTCCAAGGCAGCCTCAGAAATTTAGCAAGGCTCTAAGCAACACAGCAAAACTCTGTCTCAAAATAAAGAGGGCTGAAAATGTAGTTTGGTGGTAGAGAAGATCCCTCAAGTTGATCAGCACAGATCCTGGATTGTATTAAATTAGCTATTTACCAATCTCCTCCTATATTGCAGTGTGTGCATATATGTGCATATCCAGTTACTGCTTTATTTCTTTGGCACTTCTAATATGCTAGTTGCCAGACAAGAGTATATTGCTTTTGGGGAATTAGACTAGTAGGGAAGGAGAAGTAAACAACTTTGTGACAGAATTAAAGGAAAGATAATGGATTATGAGTGAATGCAATCCTCCTTTTTTCCTCTAACCAGAGAGTTTGGTTATATCAAACCCGGGACTCCTTCATAATGCAGAATATCTCAGTAATTAGTAAACAATAATAAAAAATGTAAGAAGCTGAAAGAACTAACTTAAACTCCAGAACAAAGAGTGAGTCAGGGTCTGGGGTTAGGACTCAGGGGTAGAGCACTTGCCTAGCACATGTGAGGCACTGGGATCAATCCTCAGCACCACATAAAAATAAATAAATAATGGGCTGGGCTTGTGGTTCAGTGGTAGAGTACTTGCCTCATATGTGTGAGTAACTGGGTTCGATCATCAGCACCACATTAAAATAAATAAAGATATGGTGTCCATCTACAACTAAAAAAAAATATTAAAAAATAAAAATAAAAAGAGTGAGTCAGGCCAGGTATGGTGGCACACACCTGAAATCCCAGTGGCTTCGGAGGCTGAGGCAAGAAGATCAAGAGTTCAAAGTCAGCCTCAGCAACTTAGTAAGGCCCTAAGCAACTCAGTGAGACCCTATCTCTAAATAAAATATAAAGAGCTAGGGATGTGGCTCAGTAGTTAAGCGCCCCTGGGTTCAATACAATAAACAACAACAATGGGAATAAAAAGAAAAAGAAAAAACCAAACCAAACCAAACCAAAACAAAACAAAACAAAAACAAAAGGTGAGCCAGAAAATGGAAAGGAGAAAAATAGCTAGATTTGGAATGATTCTGGGTAACCTGAGAAATCATTAAAATAACTTCCAATAAATTTTACCTCAGCATTATGAATGAAATCATTGTAGAATTCTTGGAAGGAGATGGTTTAGAAAATGATTTAAAGGGCTTTTCAATTAACAAAAGCAGGATTACAGGAAGTGGCACATGCCTGTAATCCCAGCAGCTTGTGAAACTGAGGCAAGAAGATCATGAGTTCAAAGCCAGCCTCAGCGAAAAGCAAGGCACAATGCAAAGTGAGACCACCCTGTCTCTAAATAAAATTCAAAATAAGGCTGCAGGGATGTAGTTCAGTAGTTAAGTGCCCCTGAGTTCAATCTGGGGTACCAAAACAAACAAACAAACAAAGCAGGATTACGGAGGTTAAATTGTAGGTATAGGATGGGCGCAGTGGTGTGCGCCTGTAACCTCAGAGACTCAGGAAGCTGAGGCAGAAAATTTAAAGTAAGAGACCCATCTAGGCAAATTAGGGACTCCTTGTCTCAAAACTGGGGGAATGGATAGCTGGCGATATACCTCAATAAATAAAGCACCACTGGGTTCACTTCCCGGTCTCCACCCCTCAAAATTATATTTAATTAATTAATTAATCGCAGGAATGTGGTGCCTGTTACCTGTTCATTGTTGAAGAGAACAAAAACTTACCTCAACAAAGAAGACAAGATTTTCTAAACGGGTAGGATGTGTTTTCAAGTTACCATTTTTAACTTCTAAGAGGTCACCTTTACATCTACTGAAGACATCTGAAGACAAAAAGATATTTTTATGGTTTTATTCGCCTTTTGTTTCAATGCTATTTTCAGGAACACAATCTATATAATCTAACAGAAAATAAGCAAATATAAAAGCTTAGTTCAGAAACTTTTTTTTTTTTAACCAGTGAACCAAAAACTAGAGAATAACTATTTTAAGCCACTAAAAGTCATATTTACTATGGCTCTACAGACTTCAAAATAATACATTCTCGCCAGGTATAGTGTGATAAAACCTGTAAACCCAGTTACTTGGTAGGCTGAATCAGGAAGGAGCACAAGTTCAAGGACAGCCTAGGCAATTTATTGAGACTGTCTCAAAATTTTTTTAAAAAGGGATAGAGATAACTCAGTGTGTACAGTGCTTACCTAGCATGTACAGAAACCCTAAATTCAATCCCCACCATTAATTAATTAATTAATTAATTGTAGAGTCTAAGTTATCTCAAAAATAGGTCACGCATGATCCCAATAAAATTAAAATTGAGTGAATGATTTAGAAGAACTTGTATCGTGGAATGAAAGAACAAGAAAGTATACTACAGAAATGCATCTTCATAACAGAGGCTATGTTTTATTCTTATACTCTTGCTCATCTTTTAATTTTCAGACATCTTTCATATGAGCAATAAAGTAAAAGACCATTTAGGTCCCTGAGAAGACCGACCCTTACAGATTTAGAATGCATATATACCTTTATTTTTTTAAGTTGGGTACCTTTATTTTACTTATTTATGTGGTGCTGAGGATGGAACCCAGTGGCTCGAACATGCTAGGAGAGCGCTCTATCACTGAGCCACACCCCCAGCCCACATACATACCCTTTTAACAACAATTCCATTTCAAGGAAATTTTATCCCAAGGAAATAACCAAATAATTACTCAAACACTGTGTCCCAAGATATGAATTTCAACATTATTATAAATGTAAGAAATAATGCAAGTATATGTCAAACAGAGGAGTTCACAAGTAAATTTGTTATACTGACATTTCAGAATATTATGTATTATTAAAAGTGAACATATAGGGCTGGGGATTGGCTCAAGCAGTAGCGTGATCGCCTGGCATGTGTGCGGCCCGGGTTCAATCCTCAGCACCACATACAAACAAAGATGTTGTGTCTGCCGAAAACTAAAAAATAAATATTAAAACATTCTCTCTCTTAAAAAAAAAAATTAAAAAAAAATAAAAGTGAACATATATACATATGAACATATAGATGGATAGATAGAATTACATAGGTATCCATGAAAATTTAAAAAATAAAATAAAAAAAGCCTACATTATCTGTGTATGGTGGTGCATCCTTTAATCCCAGCCACTCCGGAAGCTAAGGCAGGAGAAGCTTAAGTTCAAAGGCAGCCTCAGCCAAATTATTGAGACCCTGACTCAAAATAAAAAGGCATGGCTGAGTGTGAAGTGCCCCTGCGTCCCTGGGTTCAATCCCCAGTATTAACCCCTCCCCCCCCAAAAAGGGAAGGGGGGTGGGAATCGCAGGTGTGCAAAGGAACGAACCTGTGTGTTATATACCTTTTCATATCTTAAAAGAAATTACTACTATGTTATTTTCACATACATATGAATGGCTGTAGGTGGCATCTATGAATATTGACTCCAAAGCATTAAAAAGTCTGGACAATTGTCTGACAAAGGAAAAAAGACCTTACTCACTTGTGTACCAGTTTATAATAGGTATCTAATACTTTTGTAATAAAAAATTAACTTTTAATACTAAAGAACTGGTTTTTAAAAATTCTAAAAATATGCATCATTATTTTTAAATCCTACTTCAAGTTTATATATATAAAAATTGAGCTACTGCCAAACAACCACATACAAAAATCTACAGTAAGAATACTCACCCTCCAGACTGGGGACACTCAAAATGCACAAGGTCCTAGATTCAGTCCCCAGCACCGCAAAAAACAAACAAACAAACAAAACAAAACAAAAAAACTCACCCTTTAACTGTTCTAGTAAAGACTTAAGACTATTCTCTATCCGCTCCTGTATCTCCACTGTATCTTCTGAAATTGAAAGATAAAAATTAAAAACTTTCATTTTCTTATTAACATAAAAAGCATAGTCAATACCTGTAAACAACACACAGTAAGAATTATTTTTTTCCTCTTAAGAACTTACGAATCTAAGGCTGGTGATATAGCTCAGTTGGTAGAGTGCTTGCCTTGCACATACAAAGCCCTGGGTTCAAACCCCAGCACCCACCCCCAATAAATAAATAAATAAAAATAAATTAAAAAAAAAAAAGAAGAGAAGCGGGAGCCCATGGGAAAAATGAAGTAACTTTGATTGGGCAAGGAAGGGGGAGAGGAGGATAGCGGAGAAGTATAGGGGCAGAAAAGATGGTGGAATATGATGGACATTATTACTCTAGGTACATGTATGACTGCACATATGATGCGATGCTACATCCTGTACAATCAGAGAAATAAAAAGTTGTGCTGCAATTGTGTACAAAGAATCAAAATGCATTCTGCTGTCATATGTACATAATTAAAATAGACAAATTTAAAAGGGCAGGGGAGCATTTAATCACCTTTCCACCATAGGTACTACCTGAAATTCTCTTTGAGGACTTGAAACCTGCCGAGTGCTTAAAAATTCTTGTAAATGATAGGATCTATAAACTTTATGATTTTGAAAAAGAGAAATATTTGTGATTCTCATTGGGTTGAAAGCTTGGGAATTTATCCACAAAATTGGGAACTTAATTTTTAAATCCAATTCAATCTAAAGCTAGGTATGATAGTGCATGCCTGTAATCCCAGTGGCTCAGGAGGCTGAGGCAGGAAGACTGTTGAGTTCAAAGCTAGCCTCAGCAGCATAGTGAGAACCCAAGCAACTCAGCGAGACCCTGTATCAAAATAAAATACTTTTGGTGCTGGGGATGTGTGTTTCAGTAGTTAAGCACCTCTGGGTTCAATCCCCAGTATCCAAAAAAAACCAAAAAAACAAAACAAAAAATCTAAAATTCAATAATCTTTCAAAAAGTCAACTGTTGGATGTAACAAGTCCCTTTAAATATGGGGAAAGAAATCAGGATTCTAAAACATTACTTTGAAATATGTGAATGTGCCCTCTTGAACATTAAACCAGACACTGCCTGAGCAGCTTCCAGCTTTCATCTACTCCATATTGCTAAGTATCTGAGGTTATAGATGTTTCATTGCATTTACTAAGTTTTCAATGACAAAAACCCAGGAAATTCACATGCAAGAAAATACTTACTTACCTAAACCATTGGTATCCAGCTCATAAATATCATTAACAAGATAAAAAGAACTTATCTGGCATTGAGAACAGCCAGAGTTAAAGAATCCACCCATTCTGGTAGGTACAGGACCAAGGAAAGGATACTAGAAAGAGGGAAAATAATATCCTTTAATTCATTCAAAAGAAGAAAATAAAGCTTTGTTAACTACTGGATAAAACTTATTTTGGGGCTAGGGATATAACTCAGTTGGTAGAGTGCTTGCCTCACATGCACAAGGCCCTGGGTTCAATCCCCAGCACCACAATTAAAAAAAAAAAAAACAAGGGCTGGGGATATGGCTTAAGTGGTAGTGAGCTTGCCTAGCATGTGTGAGGTTCAATTTTCAGCACCACAATTGTGTCCACCTAAAACTAATAAATAAATAAATAAATAAATAAACATTTCGGTGATTTAATGAAAAACCATTAATCAGCAAAGTATTTTCTGACCATTATAGTAAAAATAGAAATGGCATATGAATTTGTTGATAGTTATTAGAAATTTATCATCACACACCCAAAAAATTATTATGTTTTTTTTCATTATACAGCCTGGGTATTGGGAAAGCCTCTGCAATTTCTTCTCCATCTATAATATTCCTCTTTTTACTCCAGATGCCATAAATTGAGAGAGAAAAAATTCTATTCTTTACTATTTAGTCAACCCCAAAGTCCTAATTGAATGACAATCATAAATATAATCATTGAAGCTTTAATGGCAAATTAAATATATGATACCTGAATTTCCTTTTCAATAAATCGCTTTCCTGTCTCCACGGCCACCTCTAGCTGTTGAAGGAGCAAACGAAGAATATCAATGGGAGAGGATACACCATTCTCCGCAGTCTTCTCAGAGTTCTTTGGCTCCACAGGGTGGTTAAGACTCGGAAGGCCACTGATCAGCCTCAATGTTAAGGAACGGATTCTTAGCCACATGGTCTCCTCCTCCAAGGAAAGTTTCTTATGTTCTTCAGAAACATCCCTTAAACAAAAACATCCTCAGACCATCCATTTTATTCAACCTGTTGCCTTCAAAGCTTTCAACATTCACTTTTACCAGTCAAGATATTGCTGAATGGTTCCAATTTTCACTTAGTATTTGGATGATCTTAAAGCCAAAAATCTTCTGAATCCCCATTTCATTATCAATAAAATGGGCATGGTAACTTTCCTAACTTAATTTCCCCAGGACTTTTTTTCTCTGATAATTAAAGTACTACATGATACAAAAAGTTTGACAGCTGGAGGTGATGGCACACACCTGTAATCCCAGCAGCTTTGGCAGCTGAGGCAAGAGGATCCCAAGTTTGAGGCCAGCCTCAGCTGTGTAGCAAGGCCCTAAGCAACTCAGGGAGACCCTGTCTCAAAATAAAAAATAAAACGGGCTGGGGATGTGGCTCAGCAGTTAAGCACCACTGAGTTCAATCCCTAGTTGCCCGCTCCACCCCCGCCCGCCAATTCAAATGACAGAAAAGTAAAAATTGGGAAGGAAAAGTGCCCTGATAACCAAATACCCAGAGTATTAACAAGTTTGGTAAATATCCATTCAGATTTTTGCAATACAGATGTATAAAAAATGTAACTGAAGTACATTTTTATACATCTGTATTGCAAAAGTGAATTTCAATGGTAGAATGCATTGAAATGTAAGTTAAAATGGCAAGCTTGTTACATTCTAAAAATTTATGGTAAATAAATTGGTAAATTTGTGTGTGTGTGATGTAATACACCTTATATATATTTATACATATATCTTGAGTGTGTGGTTAGCACATGGAAGGCCCTGCATTTAATTCCCAACAATATCAAAATATCTATCTATGTTTGCACTTAAAATAATATTTATGTGGGCCAGGGCAGAAAACTTGCCTAGCATGTGTGAGGCACTAGGTTTCATCCTTAGCACCACATAAAAATAAACAAATAAAATAAAGGTATGAAAAATACAACATTATAAAAAAATAAAAAGCAAAAAAAAATAAGAATGGCTTACTATATCCAGACTGTTTGTAGAAACCATATAGTTTACAGTGAACAATTTGTTTCCTCTGAGAATCTAGGATTTTAGTACATGGTGGACAAAGAGTTTGTCCATGAACCAGCAGATAAAAATGGTAGGCATAGAAACACAGCACATGTTACAGCATTTTTCCCTGCTGAAGAAAGAGTGCACTCATTGTGTTCCTTCATAAAAGAGAACGCAGTGGTGGTTGGGGCTGTGGCTCAGCGGTATTGCACTTGCCTGGCATGTGTGAGGCTCTGGGTTTGATTCTCAGCACCACATATAAATAAATATAATTAAGGTCTGTCAATAAACAAAAAAAATTTTAAAAAAGAGAGAACACACAGTGGAAATCTGTGTATGGAAGTCTCCATACTCTGCCTACTCCTCTTTCCTTGCTGTTCCCATCATCTATTCTTTTGCTATAATAAACCTAAGCCCCTGTAATCATTCTAGCAAATCACCCAATGTGATTTTGGCAACCTATGAGTCATAGTATTTGCAAAACTATCTAATATATACACACTTGCAAGTTGTCTACTTCCTTAAAGCTCAACTTCCCCAGAAGCAGATCTGCTTAGCAGACCATATGTGGCATTTCAAATTTTGCCATGTATCACCAGAATCCCCTACATGAAGGCTCTATAAAATTGTGCCACAACGTAAATACATAATAACAAGCATCATTCCACATAACCACCAATCCTTTTTGTTAGAAATAAAATCTTAATCACTGAAAATGCATTTCTTTGAACTTCTTGTTACACCCTCTACCCACACTGTTTCTTTGTTATCTTCTCTATTGATCTATTAAGAGTCCTCAGCCAGGTGTGGTGCACCACTATAAACCTAATGACTCAGGAGTCTGAGGTAAAGAATCGAAAGTTCAAGACCAATTTAGCAAAACTGTCATTTATTTTTTTTTATTTTTTTTATTTAAGAAGGACGTGGATATGTATCAGGGGTAGAATACCCCGGAGTTCAATTACTTCCAGTTCAATCACTGAAGAAGAAAGATGGCAGGGGGTGAGTATGTATTTTCTCTATACAGATCAGGGGTATTAATATAAATGAAAAAAATCAGGGCGTAAGGACATAGCTCAGTGGTACAGCACTTGCCTAGCGCATGTAAGACTCTAGATTTCATCCTCAGTACTAAAAAAAAGGTATATGTATAAATATATATAACGTGTGTGTACATCACACACAAATTTACCAATTTATTTACCATAAATTTTTAGAATGTAACAAGCTTGCCATTTTTACTTACATAAGTTAAATCCTTTATGTTTACATTTCCACTGTTTACATGTTAAGAAAGGTTTTTCCTACCCACTTAAAAATATTTTCTATCTTCTAGAATTTCTAATGAGTTCTGGCATATAATTTTTAATCTCATTTAAAATTCATTCTCATATATGCTATGAAGTAGCAAAGGGGTGAGATGTATTTTCTTCTTCAGGCTTAACTATATTTTCTTATCCCAACAACAAACATATTATTTTATATTTGTGTTAAAGAGATTTTTCTAAACAACTATTAGATTAAACCTAATTCTTCCCACCCATCCAGTGCTAGGGATTGAACCCAGGGCATCACACATGTTAGGCAAATACGCTACTACTGAGATGCATGCCCAGCCCTTTTTATTTTGAGATATGGTCTCTCGAAATTGCCCAGTATGACCTTAAACTTGGGATCCTTCTGCCTCAGCCTCCTAAATAACTATAGGCTACAGGCCAGCACCACCATACCCAACTGGATTCATCCTAATCCTTTAAAAATAAATGGCTTGGCCAGGAATGGTGGTTCACTCCTGTAATTCCATCAGCTCGGGAGGATGAGTCAGAAAGATCATAAGTTCAAATGCAGCCTCAGCAAAAAATTGAGGTAGCTCAACAACTCAGTGAGACCCTGTTTCTAAATAAAATATAAAAAAGGGCTGGGTGTGGCTCAGTGGTCAAGTGCCCCCGAGTTCAATCCCTGGTACCAAAAAAGAAAGAGAGAGAAATGGCTTGGAGTTAAATTTTAGTTACCTGTCTTTTGGATCCCAGCTGAAGAAAACATTTAAATCTCTGTTATCTCGCAAATCTTCCCATGGAATGTCATCTTCTTCTGGCCTAAGATTCATTGACTTTATACTTTCTGCTAGGCTGGTTGATCTGCGATATATAGAATTTATTTCAATAGGAAAATAGTCATGAAAATGTTTTCAACATTGTTTTACAAGAAAGAAAGGAAGAAAAAAGAAAAAAATTATTCTAAGAAATAAGGTGATATAATAAAGTAAAAATCATGCCGACTTACTCCATGACAAGAGAAGGTCAAACAAAGTAATGAATCAGCACTAACTCCTGAAATCCCATTTGTAGTACAAAGGGAAACTTGTAAGCATAATATGGATCAAGAGAATGAGCATGTATAAAATGACTCCTGCAGAGGATCTGAGATGGTGCTGGCAATTCTCTATAATTCTTTTTTATTTGTGGGGGGATGGGGGTGGGGGTGGTGCCAGGGATTGAACTCAGGTGCACTCAACCACTATGCCACATCCTCAGTCCTATTTTGTATTTTATTTAGAGACAGGGCCTTGCTAAGTTGCTGAGGCTGGCTTTGAACTCACGATCCTTCTACCTCATCCTCCCAAGCTTCTGGGTTACAGTTGTGTGCCACTGCGGCTCTACCATTCTTTATGTCAGGCCAAAGTTCTGTTTTCTCTGTTCCCACCCCTTTTCTTTCATTCTCCCTGTTTTTTCCTTATCCTAAGCCTGGTAATGACACACCATGAGTGCATTAATGGCTTTTAGAATCTGATTTAATCCCTTCATTTGAGTCCTCCCCCCCCCCTTTTGTGTAATACTTACATATTTGCTTCAAGTAGAAGGTCCAACAGCATCCGTTCAGTACGGACTTGTGCAAAATGAAGAGAATTATTCAGCCTGTTCCTAAAAGCGATAAACTCTGGGATCTTCTCAAATGCACCATATTTGTAAGCTTGAATAATATATTCTGAGGTCTGGGAAGGAAAGACATCATCTTGGTATAAATATTTCACAGGACAGACACTGTAAGCAAACCGTGCCAGCCAAAACAAAATATTCAAGCTAAAATTAAGAAAAGCTTTGAATGCAATCTTTAAAAGTTTCTATTATCAAGTACAGAATATCAGTTCTTTATAATATTATTTTTCTTCCTTTCTGTACCAGAGTCAAATGTGTTCTTTATTAACATATTACTATTCACAACACCCAACTGCCACTACCATCCCACAGACCTTCTCTTGTCAGCCATATCTCTCAATGCAATAGGAATGGAGGTTTTGTGAGGCCACATCAATCAAAAATTTGCTTAGTGCCATTCTGGAAGGGATATTACTCCATGTTTTTCTGCTTCCAAGACCAGCTGTTTTATATAAAGGTTCCGAAGATGCCAGAATAATGGAACCACCTCCACGTACCCAAAATAAAAGTCACTCTTTTACAAAAAGGTTACTCCTTGGTTTTGTTTCTTTCTATACAATGTACCACACACATAGGACATATATGTATTACACCAGAATAGAAAAAAGACACCAAAGACTCATAAAAGTTAATGTTATAATCAATTCTGAGGACAGAACAACTTCAAGAACAAGTTTGTCCATCTGAACTACCTAAGACCTCTTCTAAAAACTTCCATAGACAAGTGAAGGAAACATTTAGTACGTGTTTTAACTGTAGATTAAAGCATACATATAGATGAAATGTTTACAAAACAGAGGCAAGATAAAGAATTCTAAACGGAAATCCTGGCATAATAGAAGAAAATCTCAGGCAAGAACATTTCAGAAGTGTAGGCCTATGCCAACAGGAATGAAGAACAGAAGATCAAACCTTAGGGTCAAGGAAAGCATCAAGCTCAAAGCTGATGTGTGACCAAATAAAGATTCTTCCTAGAAAAGTCAGTCTTTTTACACAGTCTCAGTTAGTCAGCTCTGCCCCCATCTCTATTATGACTGAGAAATTTGCCCAGTAGGAAAATAGGCCAATAGTCAACAACATACCCTCTGATACACAGCCTCGCAGGGTTCATTTCAGGCCGCGGGATTGCGCCACGGGCGCTAATTCAACTGCATTCGATGCGGCTTTTAAACCCCCATGGGACACCTCGGCGAGCTGTTTGCCTGCAGTATCTGGAGAAATTAAAGACGGACGGACACAAGAAAATTAAAAAGATTACTTGTGATCCTGCAGGTTTAAAGAAGGACTATCCAAAAAAGCTAGAGTGTACCTTCTAGCCTGATTAAGGACAGTGATATGCCCCATCAAGAAGAGGCCAGGACCCTAATCACATATGTCTATCCTATGGCACTTTGGCTGAGAAAACACATCAAGGTTTACTATCAGCCCTTGCGATAAGAACTTACAGCTTAAAAAAAAATGGAAACATAATTTAGTAAGTTATCAGGATAGATATATGACTTTGGTAATTCCAAACAACTTTATAAATTCCAGTTCTAAAATATGCTATAATTAAGGAAGAGAACTTACTGAGTAGTCCATGGAATAGCACTTTAAGAAAAAAACTTTCAAAAAAGCAGTGAGAAAGAAATAGTCTTCAAGAAACCAAGAAGGTGGACACAGTTACAGTCCTTCTTAAACATTGAAGCACCAGTGCAAGGCTAGATCTGGGCCAGGGCACAACCAATAACCTCTGAGAGACAACAGGGAAACCTGGAGGCCACAGGCACTTCAAGACTTTTGAATAGTATATGTCATCTGTACCTATTTCTACTAGCTTCTGTGCAAATGGGTATATTTAGATCCCATACGGATGCCTGAAATGAACCCTGGTCACTGTAAAAACTAGCAAATTAGGACATTAGACCTGAAACTTACAATCATCATTACGTAAGATAGACATTTTAAAGTAAGATTTTTAAAGTAGTACAAACATTTAAAGAATGTTAGGAGATAGGAAAATCTAGCACTGATTTTCATATTGTAAAAAGAATCTATTCCAAAGTAAGATGACAGTAGCCAACGACATATCTAAAAAGAAAATCCTTGTGCAGACCTTCCAAATTCAACTTTCAGTCCCACAGCACAAAACCTTCCTGAGAACCCGGGATTTCCCATTCAAGGAATAAGTGTTCTTTCTAAGAAGCAGTTGGGAAGTAAAACATAAGTCACCCCCCAAAAAAGGCATTTGGGAATCCCCAAAACTATCAAGAATAAAAGCTGTTGAGCATGGATCTTTGGCTCTGAAGTGAAACATTTCTAATTCAATGAGAAGATTTAACGCACGCAGTGTGACACTACAATCACAGGCAGCCTTAGATTCTTTTAGGAAACCTTCCACGCTACTGTTCTCTTGTTTGGTGATGGGGCATCAAGATAAGGCACATTTTTCTTATGTACTGAGCTTCCCTTTTTTCTCCAGGATCCATTAAGATTGCTACTTGAATATGATACATTAGCTCCATTACAAACTGACAAAGTCCCAATCCCAGATCAATTAGTCACTCCTACACACAACCATCAAAAAGAGTTCAAGCATCAAAAAAGACACTAAAAACACTGAGAAGACACCCCTTAAACTGTTCCTGGGAACATTATTTCCCTTTATTACAATACTGTACATTTTTATTTTGGGTTTTTTTTTTTCCCCAGAAGCAATTCTTCAAACACAATGGTTAGAAAAAACTAAAGCCTAATTTCTATCAGTATAAAATAGTGTGCCTTTATTGTCTAAATCTTTATGAGTAATGATTCTTCAAGAATGCATAGTTGGTTAAAACAACAGAAAAAACAGATATTGGGCTTTAAGGATTCCTTTATTTCTTCCCACTATCTTAAAGCTGGTTAAGAAACAAAATTTTGGAAAGGATGCTTTAGTAAATCAGGTGTCTTTATCCTTCTCCTGGTAAATAAATTACAACTACAATAATGATCAATTTGAGGAAATAATTTCAGTTGATTTTGAGTTAATGAAATCCCTTAAAAACAGAGAAGAGCAAGCAGATATATGTGAATACACAGTGAAAACTCACACTTGATGACTTAAAAGCCTAGGGCCCTAGAGATGCTCTTTCAACCTCTAAGCCTGGCCAGCACACTCTAAGTAATGTGTTCAGTTGCTGAAAGCCATTTCCCTCTCTTCCTGATCAGAAGCTATGTCACAAAATAAGGTCTGAATAGCAATGTCAATCACAGGACAGAGAAGACAGGCTAAAAAAGCCAATTAATATGGTGTACAGTTCAACAGCTAAGCAGAGAACCCTCCATCCACATTCTCAGAACTGTCCTTTGCTATTACAGCCCTCTAGGCCATGCCATAACCTTGTCAGAACATATTATCAGACACTAAGAACAACAAACCTATATTCCAATTGTTCAGACACGGTTCTGTCCTGCTTCCTATTTAATATATCCTTGAAGAATTATATGGAAAATACATTAACATTTACCAAACAGATTTGTTTGTTTTAAATCCTTAAGAGTGTTTGCCAAGAAAAACCCCAGGTTATAATTTCCTTGTCAGGTTCCTTAGTTGCTGATAGACCATTGACAATAAAGCTGTGGGCAGTTATCTGCCCAGCTAGGTTCCAGGCAATGCGTCTGCAAATCATGTAAGAACCAAGTAAGTAGTGACCACTCTAAGAACAACTTTCTCTTTCCATATTTCTCTTAGGTAGTTTTGCAAGATTGATCAACTGAGTAGTGACCATATGGTTTTTCCACATAAAATTCTGCTTCAACAAGTGGAGCCCCAATCCGTTTGCAGTGAAAAATATGGTGCAAATCCCATCCTTTAGTTATGGCACATTTATGGCTACTGAAAAAACACATACAATTGACCTAAGTTTCTTGAAATGTTCTTCAACTGGTCAATAAGTAAAAATAAAATTTATTTATTTATTCAGAAATAAAGGTGGCAGAGCTAGGGTTGTGGCTCAGTGGTACAGCACTTGCCTAGCATGTGTGGGGCACTGGGTTTGTTTCTCAGCACCACATATAAATGAATAAAATAAAGGTTTATCAACACCTAAAAATAAATATTAAAGAAAGAAAGAAAGAAAGGTGGCAGAGTGTTGGTTATTTTTTTGTTTTGTTTTGTTTTTTTGTGGTGCTAAGGATTGAACCCAGGGCCTTGTGCATGCAAAGCAAGTATTCTACCAACTGAGCTATATCCCTAACCCCATCATAGACTCTTACATGGCACTGCAGGCTATAAATTCTTATGGGCTATTTCTTACTTCCTTGGAAAGTTCTTAGATATCCAAAGACAGTTCTAAGAGGTATAACACTTCTTAGTCTATTAAAACCCAGTGTTAAATGCCAACTTTCCTAGGATCCTATTAAACACACCCACATTCCAATAAACATAAACAGCTCTACCTCAAGCTAAGAGCCTTGAACAGTAAGCTACAATATAGGAGCATTTGCCAGTAGAGCATGGTGCTCCTTAACATGGGCACTTGTGACTCAATCGTGTACAGTCTGTAATCAAGACCATAAAGAAAAAAAGAAAAAGCTTTTCACTTACATCTTTCTGGTTGGAGTGGAAAAACCTGAGTGCGAAATTACAGGATTGGGATGCAGCAGCATACTGACCTAGAGATTCGGCGTATCGAGTCAAAAGATAACTAGGTTGGAAGAAAAGAAAAAAATACACGTTATACTTACCCACCTCTAGTATCAGATGCTATATCTCAAATTACTATGCCAAAGAAATAGTTAAGCATAAGGAAAAATTAAAAATCCTGCCACTTAAAATAGCCTAATCAATAAAGAATAAAGTTCATTCAGTTTTTTAGGAGGATAAAAGTTCTACGTCATGCTTTCTTTAGACTCTGGCAATGAAACATAAAAGGTGTAATAATACACATAATGCAGTCTTCCTAAAACAGCACCAGAGGAGATTAAAAAATGCCCTTAAGTAATCACAAGAATAGCCAAAACACAAATTCAAAAGGATGTCTCAGATCAACAAATAAAGTACACATGAAGAAAAGACTTCAAAACAATGTGTGCTAAGAATAAAGGTTCAAAATATACAGCTGGTCGGATGGAAGTATGGCTCAGTGGTAAAACATGTGCTTAGTATGTTTGAAGTTCCAGGCTCAATCCCTAGAACTACGAAATCAAGAAAATAAAAAGATAGCCGGGTGAGGGAGGCTGAGACAAGAGGATCGATCGTGAGTTCAAAGCCAGCCTCAGCAACTTAGCTAGGCCTTAAGCAACTCACTGAGACCTTATCTCTAAATAAAATACAAAATAGGACCAGGGATGTGGCTCAGTGGTTGATTGCCCTTGAGTTCAATCCCCAGTATCTCACCCCCACCCCCCAAAAAAGAGAAAGAACAGTAAATACAAATTTAAGAAATAAACTAATTTTTTTTTTTTTAAAGGAAAAGTACATAGCTGGTTGCCATCTCTGGGGAAAACTTTCTTCTTGACATTTCGAAACTGCCAATTTTAAAAATTACTAAGCCATATATAAACTCATTATGTTTGCAATGGGTCATAATAGATGTTTACTTAACATCACAAATGAATGTACTACAAAAGACTAGAAATGAGAGTCCCATGCCTCACCCTATTATAGCTGGCTACTCATTATTCAGAGTATATACTACCAACCCAATGGTGTCGTGCTGGATATGCTTTGCATCGAGACTGGAGTAAAGATCCACCACCGGTTCAAATGCACCCAGCATACAGTAGATTCGAACAAGCAGCAATTTGAATTGAGCATTGGAAGGGCTATGGGTTAACCCTTCTTCCAGCAAAGTCAGGGCCTGCCACACAGCAGTCTCATCACCTAAAATAAAAAAAGAGCATTGTCCACTGATCTTGACAGTAATAAGACTTCTTAAAAAGAAACAAACCTACTGACATCGTCACCTCCTCTAATTATTCTATAAGTGAAGGCAGAGAATAAATTTTACATACACACTTATAAGCAAAATAGGGAATTCCCTAAATTGTCCCTCAATAGTTATGCCAGTTCTTAAACACTCTCTCTGAAAAAATGGTACAGAGTTTAAGTGGCCAGATCTTGTGGATGGAAGTTATGGAATCACACAGAATTTCAGATTCTGGGAAGAGATGGACTTTGAAAAACAGGAGTCCACCTGCCTTCCGATTGCAGGATTTGCTCTACAAGAATCCAGAGAGAGATTCTTCACAGACACAATTTTACTCATATGTAACTCTCTTAAAAGGTTGTCCTATATCAAGCTTGAAAAAACTTCTCATTAATAATCAGCTGGGTATATTGGCACATGCCTGCAATCCCAATTACTTGGGAGGCTGAGCCAGGAAGATTTTAAATTTAAGGCCAGCTTTAGCAACTTGCCAAGAACATGTCTTAATATAGAAATAAAAAGGGTTGAGAGGTTGGGGTTGTGGCTTAGTTGTAGAGCATTTGCCTATCAAGTGTGAGGCACTGGGTTCAAGCCTCGGCACCACATAAAAAAATGAACAAATAAAATTAAAAGGTACTGTATCCATATACTACTAAAAATATTTTAAGGTGGGGGGGGCCTGGAAATGTAGCTCGATGATAGAGCACCAACAGGTTCAATACCCAATACCATGGGGGAAATCAAACTAAAATGACATTTTTTTAGCCTACCAAATTTCAAAAGTATCTATAGTCTTAGATTAAGTAATGTGAATGGATAAAGAAACTGTGGTATATATACACAACGGTATATTAGTCAGCCTTAAAGAATAAAATTATGGCATTTGCCGGTATATGGACGAACTGGAGAATATCATGCTAAACAAAATAAGCCAATCCCAAAGAACAAAAGGCCAAATGTTTTTTCTGATATTCAGAATCTAATTCACAATGGGGGGGAGGGGAACAAAGGTACTTTGGATTAGACAGAGGGGAGTGAAGGGAACGGGAATGGGTATGGGGTAGAAATGACAGTAGAATGAATCGGATATTATTACCCTATGTGCATGTGATTACAGAGCGCTGTAACTCTTCATCATTTACAACCAGAAGAATGACAAGTTATACTCCATCAATGTATGATGTTTCAAAATGCATTCTATTGTCATGTATAACTAATTAGAACAAATTAAAAAAATTTAATTTGCCAAAGTGGGCAATAAAACAAAAATAAGTAATTTGTCTTTAGAATCTATTTAAAGAAGGTACTAAGAAACACAGACAAAACTGTATGCAAAAATATTCATTATTACAATAACATCCACACATGGAAACATCATAGAACCATGTGCCACAAAGTTTTTAATTATAATGTGCTTGTACAATAATGTTCAGTAAACATATGAACAGAAAAAAATGTAAGTTACTGTGAAGCAGTGACCTCAAACCTACAAAATATGAACAGAAAAAGTAAGAAAATATATAAAAATATATATTTCATATATATTGGGTTCTGGAGAAGTGAAATTTTAAATTGTTTTCCAAAATTTTACAAGCTACTTTTTTTGGGGGAGGAGGGTATTATCAGATATTGAACTCAGGGGCACTCGACCACTGAGCCACATCCCCAGGCCTATTTGTATTTTACTTAAAGACAGGGTATCACTGAGTTGCTTAGTGCCTCACTAAGTTGCTGAGACTGGTTTTGGACTCACAATCCTCCTGCTTTAGCCTCCCGAGCAGCTGGGATTACAAGTGTGTGCCACTGCACCCAGTTCAAGCTACTTTTATACTTGGTAAAAACAACTAAAACCTCCATGCATTAAAAAATATTTTTAAGATTATTCTATATGCTTTTGTTTCCCCAAAAGAAATAAAATATTGAGCCTTTAGAAAAATATCAATGATAATCCAACCCACACTATGAAAACTACCTATAATCTACCCAAACTATTTTTTTATTAGCTACACATGATAGTACAAGGATCTTGACAACCATTTTTATTTTAATGTATTTCTTCTGAACTATAACTTTTATCCAAGGCTAGCCTCAAACTTTTGATCCTCCTGCCTTAACTACTATGCTGAAGAAAAAAAATATTTTTCAAAAATATAAAGCATTCTTATTAATTCTTTCACATTCAAATCAATCTCTTTCAAAACCCTCACTAATTATTCAACAACTTCTAATTTCTACTAGATCTGTGGGGTTTGGGCATAGCTCAGTGGTAGCATGCTTGCCTGATATGTACAAGGCCCTGGGTTCAATTCCCAAGGCTGCAAAAAAAAAAAAAAAAGTAAATAAAAGAATAATAATGACTATGCCTGATTAGAGCACTTCAATATCCCTCTCATTGAGTTAAAAAAATTCTGCATCCTTACAAGATCTGCAATTTCATTTTGCAGTTTCTGTTGTGGTTTTAATAAGCTCCTGTGTGAATGCAGGAATATTCAGAGGTGAGGTGATTGGTTTGTGATAGCTGTAACCTGATTATGGGGCATAGCTGGAGAAGGTGCATCACTGGAGGCATACCCTGGAAGGATTCATGTTCTCTGTGGCCGCTCCCACAATGCTTCCTAGATGCTATGAGAGTAATTTCCTTCCTTAGGATGTTTTGCCTCCCTTGGACCCAAAACAATGGAGTTGGACCACCATGAACTGAACCTCTGGAACTGTGAGCCAAAATAAACTTTTCCTAAAGTTGTTCTTCTTTTTCGGTGGGGAGTGCCAGTGATTGAACCCAGGGGTGCTTACCTACTGAGTCACATCCCTATAACTTTTTATTTTGAGACAAGGTCTTCCTAAGTTGCTTAGAGCCTTGCTAAGATGCTGAGGCTAGTTTTGAACTCCCGATCCTTCTGCATATCAGCCTACCAAGCTGCTGGGATTAGAGGCATGCACCACCACACCTGGCTCTTAAGTTGCTCTTGTTGGGTATTATGATCACAGCAACAATAGGCTGACTAACACAGTTCACAATGTATTTGCACTGCAGGATTTTTTTGCGGGGTGGGTACTGGGGATGGAACTCAGGGGCACTCAACCACTAAGCCACATCCCCAATCCTATTTCGTATTTTTTATTTAGAGACAGGGTTTCAATGTGTTGCTTAGCGCCTTGCTTTTTGCTGAGGCTGGCTTTGAACTCACAACCATCCTGTCTCAGCCTCATGAGCCACAGGAATTAGACATGCACCACCACGCCCAGCACTGCACTGTAGAAATTTGATCAATTTACTATCTTCTTTCTCTCCTTTCTACATTTCCCTCGTCTACAAAATTGTGACAATAACTATATTATTATAGATTTAAATTTGATTCATGGGGGCTGGGGGTGTAGCTCAAGTGGTATCATGCTCGAATAGTATGCGTGAGGCATTGGGTTTGATTCTCAGCACCACATAAAAATAAAATAAAGCTATTGTGTCCACTTTAAAAAAAAAAAAAAAACCAACAACAACAAAAAAAACCAAACAAATAAATTTGATTCATGGAAAGTACTTTCAAGTATCTATCAACAAAAGTTTGCTGCTGCTATTATTATTATATGCCCAGATACCTTGCTCAAAATACAAGTGACTAACAAAGCCATAGTCACTATGAGCAGCAATGGATGCAAGGGATAAGTGGGGAAGGTTATTTGTATAGAAACCAAATAACTAAGATGTCACTTCATTAGTGGTTTTTATATTAAGGTGACTTTGGAGTTCAATCCCCAGCACCAAATAACAAAACAAAACAAACCACACCAAGATGAATTTTGTATTCCCAAGCAATTTCACGATGAATGGGTCTTCTTATGACAAGGAATCCCCCCTCATCCATGGTACAACAGGGTATAGCAAGTATTATGATATAGGTACATATAATGTCATACAGAATATTAGAAGAGACATAAAATCTGCAATGATATTAGATGTAAAAATCAAGACAGGTGGGCTGGGTTGCGGTAGAGGGCTTGCATAGGGCATGCGCGGCCCTGGGTTCAATCCTCAGTACCAAATAAAAATAAATAAATAAAATAGAGGTATTGTGTTCAACTACAACTAAAAAATATATATTTAAAAGAAATCAAGACAGGCTTTTTGAAGCATCATTTGAGCATAAGTTAGATGAAGGAGGCAAAGAAGTTACTTCAATATGATGTTCAGGGATAGCAGTAAAAGATTTTTACAGGGGCTGGGGATGTGGCTCAAGCGGTAGCCGCTCGCCTGCCATGCGTGTGGCCCAGGTTCGATCCTCAGCACCACATACAAAGAAAGATGTTGTGTCCGACGAAAACTGAAAAATAAATATTGAAATTCTCTCTCTCTTTAATTAAAACAACAACAACAAAAAGATTTTTACAAATAGATTCAGGATTGTGAGTATCTTAAGAATTTGGCTGACTTTTACCCTCACCATTTCAGGTTGCCACTAAAGATTTTAAAAATGGGGATGGTAGCAAAATTGAATGACCTGTGGAATGATCCATGAGGGCTGGGGCATCTTGCTCACCACTGTCTTCCCTAGCCCTTTCTATTTTCTTTACTTTAGTGTCATTAACAATATGCAATATAAACCCAAAGATGTCCCCCCCCCAAAAAAAATGACTAATAAGAGTAAATTTCAGGGGGTGTGACCTGAAGAAAAGGCAATCCTAATACCATCTTCAAAATAATCCTTCTCTTCCTCAGTGACTTATATATATATATATTTACTTATTTTTATTTTTAGTTGTTGATAGACCTTTAATTTATTTATATGTGGTGCTGAGAATCAAACCCAGTGCCTCACAAATGTCAGGCAAGTGCGCTACCACTGAGCCACAGTCCCACCCCCCCTCAGTGATTTATAATGTTGCCTTTACCAAAAAAAGCCCACAACATTTTCCTGTATATAAAAATTGTTTTTAAATCAGTTTCATTATATTTTAACTATTATAGCTTTCTAGTAATTTTTTAAACATTTTTTAGTTGTTGATATAACTTTATTGTATGTGGTGCTGAGAATTGAATCCAGTCACACATGCTAGGCAAGTGCTCTTCCACTGAGCTACAATGTCAGCCCTATAGTAGATTTTTTTACAGTTATTATTCATTATCCAGAAACATTTAAAAACAGAATGGATAGATATTCACTATTCAAGATTATCCTGACTACAGGGAATAGGATAAATTGGAAACTTGAGTTCTTCTAGAAGCATCCTGGAGAAGGGAAAGGAAGACCTAAAAGCATAAATCAAATTCATGGATTATATAATTATACTAAGGAAAGAATACAGTACTTCTAATTAATTAAACATAAAGTTGAACTGAAATCACTATGACTCACCTGTTTCTCTCCATATATCAATAAGCACATGAACAGCAAGGAGACAGTAATAGTCTGAAAACTGCAATTCTGTTTTCAAACAGGATTTCCCTACAAGAAAAGAAAATAATCACATCTTTTCAAACATCTGTTCAACTATTTCTGCCCCAAAGGAGTTTTTTGTAGCAGAAAAGTGACAGGGAGAGAATAGAAAAAAGAAATGAAAATAAGAATAGGATAAGTATCCCCAAAATTTAATTAATTAATTAATTAAAAATATAAGTCATAAAACAAAGGGATCAAAAGAAAGTGAGACCACACTCAGTTGAGACAGAAGGAAGGGTTCCAGCATAGAGAAGCTATCTATGATCCCACAAAAAAGATTGGGAAAGAGGTTTTCGGTGAAAAGCATAAACCAAGGGCCGTGTACAAAAAAACTACTATTATATTCCTTACTTGGCCTAATATCTTTAACATAGTTAGAGAAATAATGATATCTCCTAGTCAATTTATATCATACACATCTAGCAGAGTCCAGGCCACTCTGAAAAATCACCTACTTTAAGTATCTTATAATTTATAATATAACTTTGATTTAATGACATAGTATATGTATTAAAAATATTAAGGCGTACAGGCAGAAAACAGACAATTACCATAACTATGCAATTCATACAAGTCCCAACGTAAGAGAGTTAGTTCATCAGGAGAATATGGACAACAGTAAGTCACCTATAATTATTTAAAACTCCAAGCTTAAGAAAGTCTTCATCACTTATCACTTGGTCTTTCTTCTTGAAAAAATATTCTCCTTAGAAAACTAATTAAAACAGGGTACAACAGGTGCTTTAAAAACTGATTTCTAAGCCTTAGCAAATCAGGGGACTACTGCACATTCTGAAAGGTTGCTTACCGAATTCCAGTCCATGTTGGTATCTTAGCATCAATTCCCTGACCACACTCAATTTCTGATTTTTATCCATGGTGTGGTACAAGCCAAGTAACCTCGTCAGCTGCACCACACACAAATGTTGTTGCAAAGCTCGGATGTCAGAAGGCAGTGCCAGCTTATCCTCTGTTGGTGTTGACAAAGGAACAACTCCGAGTAACTGATTAATAAACTGTGAGGTGGGGGAAAAGAGGACACAAGTCTCAAAACTCAACTAAACCTCAGTAGGCTGTAGTACAGAAATTGATGTGGTCTATAAAAAGGCACCAATAAAAAAACTTTAAATTCCTTAGTATAATATTTCCATCTACCAAAAAATAAAAAAAGATTTGTGATAGGACACAATAATCATAGAACTGACACAATCATTCACTGATGGACAAAAGTATATTATCAATACCATGTACCACAAACAGTAAATATTAAAAAGATTATAACAATGTTTTATAAACTATAGAAATTAACAAGATATATCATACCATTAAAAAGATTTAATTAGGGGTTGGGGATGTGGCTCAAGCAAGGCATGCCCAGGGTGCTGGGTTTGATCCTCAACTCCACATAAAAATAAAAACTAAAATCCACAATTATATTGATTTACTTTTTTTTTTTGCTAACGAGGATTAAACCCAGGGGCTTGCACATGCTAGATAAGCACACTATCATTAAGCTACAACCTAGCCTTTTTTCTTTGATTGGTTTGGGGACAAAGTCTTGCAAAGTTGCCCAGGCAATCCTTCCTCCATCTCCCAAGTAGCTAGTATTACACATGTGCACTTTGTCAGCTGGCTACAAATAAATTATGAAAGAAAAGGTTGTACACTGAAGGGATGGTTACTATTCTTTTAAGTTTTTAAATTTTAGATAATTATAGATTAACATTTAGTGTTTAGAAGTAACAAATCCCATGTAGCATTCTCTCAATTTCTCCCAACAATAGCACCCTGCCTTAAACTATAATTCTTTAAATTTGGTAAGAATTAAAAAAACAAAAATCACACACCAGTTCCAGTTATATTTTTATTAAAAACATGCTTATTGTCACTCACTTTTAAAATCCTACTAAGATGACAATAAGGAATAAAAAAGGATTAAGCTCACAAAGATTTTTTAAAAAAATGTAACTACATCACAGGCAACCACAAGAATGGAAAGTTATACTCCATGAATGTATAATATGTCAAAATATATTCTGTCATGTATAGCTAAAAAGAACAAATAAAAAAAATTTTAAAAACATAAAAAATGTGAAGAGATGACAGTAAATTAAAACAAGATTTCAAAAGACAAAAAGCAGGCGGTAAGCAATAATTGATTTATAGGGCCGAGCAGGGTGAAATTCTCAGCAGAGGGAAGAACACCAAAAAGCAGTACACTTATTCCATTTCCAGAACCTCAGAAAACTCAAGAAATTTTCAACCACAGAACTTTCAAGACTCAAGAATTAAGGGTACCAGGTGTCTCTGAAGACTAAGGTATTATCATGGGATAAAAACAGAATGTGCTGAATTGGTCTAAGAACTTGGTCCCTCCCCCCCAAGCTCACAGACCCACTTCCTGAGGATGAACAGAAGCTAAACCAGAGACACTATGTAGACTTGGGCAGAACTGGCAGAGCTAAAAATAGGGGATAATGTGAAAATGTGCTTATTCAATGATGAAAGCCTCATCCCCTCCCCTACGTCTAAACTAAACTAATCCCAGAATACTTCAGTCAGAAGTATAAATCCCCTAACAGATGGTAGCAAAAAAGCCAGGGAAAGCATATCTAAGAGGCAGAGGTGGTGGCACACACCTTTCATCCTTTTTTTTTTTTTAATATTTATTTTTAGTTTTCGGCAGACACAACATCTTTGTATGTGGTGCTGAGGATTGAACCAGGGCTGCACGCATGCCAGGTGAGAGCGCTACCGCTTGAGCCACATCCCCAGCCCACCTTTCATCCTCTTAACTCTGTTGCTTACTTCCGTATCTAAATTATAAACATGTAGAAATTTGTTTATTTTCTTTAATATATTTTTTAGGTATAGATGGACCCAACACAATGCCTTTTTTTTTATGTGGTGCTGAGGATTGAACCCGGGTCCTGCCCATGCTAGGCAAGTACTCTACCGCTGAGCCACAACCCCAGTCAGTAAATTTGTTTATTTTTAATTGATATTTTCCTGTGGGATATATGAAGGATTACCTCCTTTCTTATACAATTTCTTTCTCTTAGGGTTAATTTTTTTTTTAGGTCCATTAACTCCAATCAGTATGGTTATACCATAATAGGGTAAATCTCCTCTTAGCATGGTCCATAACAAGAGGTCCCATTTAACCCTGACTCCTGCCTTATATTGGAGAGGGGAGAGGTTTCTGGGAACTGAACCCAGGAGCACTCTATCACTGAGCTACATCCCCAGCCCTTTTTATTTTTTATTTTGAGAGGGTCTCACTAAGTTGCTGAGGCTGGCCTCAAACTTGGAATCCTCCTGCCTCAGCCTCTGGATTGTTGTGATTACAGGTTGAGTGCCACTGTGCCCACTTAGCATTACTGGTTTGATTGCATGGCTATATAGTTCCTATTGCCAGCTCTACCATTCTTGCAAGTCTTCTGAACCCAGGGCCTTGTGCATTAGAGGTATATCCCCAGCCCCCTTGCAAGTCATTTTATAAACTGGTTGTAATTATTCTTTAAAAAAAAAATGATCCATGCTTTTATTTATATATATGTATACAGTTGTTGATGGATCTTATTTTACTCATTTATTTCTATGAGGTGCTAAGAATTGAACCCAGTGTTACACATGTGAGGCAAGCACTCTAACACTGAGCTAAAACCCAAGCCTTAGTTATGTTCTTTGTTTGGTATTAGAGATTGAACACAGGGGCACTTGACCATTGAGCCACATCCCCAGCCTTATTTTGTATTTTATATTTTACTTAGAGACAGCGTGTCATTGAGTTGCTGAGGGCCTCACCACTGCTGAGGCTGGCTTTGAACTCGAAATTCTCCTGTCTCAGCCTCCAGAACAGCTGGGATTACAGGCGCATGCTACTGTATGTTTATTTCTTAATGCCTTCCTTAGTGAGTCTTTCAGATTTTATTATAAAATAAATATGCACATTTTTAGTCTATAAATTTTTAAAAAATATTCTTTTAGTTATACTTGAAGACAATATCTTTATTTATTTTTATGTGGTGCTGAAGATCGAACCCAGTGCCTCACACATGCGAGGCAGGGGCTCTACCACTGAGCTACAGCCCCAGGCCCTAGTCTATAAATATTTTGCTGTGCAAAAAACTCTTTAAAAACTAGAGTAATTCTGTTTGATTCTAAAACATCAAGGCAAAGAAAACAAAATATTAAAATATCTTCCTGCATAAGCCACTTCAGAATTACTAGATTTGATGGTTCATTCTTTCTGGCTAGTCATACTTGAAAGACCTGGTTCACAATCCATTCCAACAGCAGTTCTCAGCTTGAATACTATTGGGTAGTTTGAAATTCTCCAACAAACATACTTGCTGAGTGACAGAATTTTTAGCTACTGAAATCATCCTGCTAAAAAGTTAAAAAGCTGTGACAGCAAAATTAAAATTCATACAGAATAAGATTACAAAATAAGATTGAAACAGCTTAAATCCTTAGACTCAGAACAATGACCATCCTTATCACTGCTAGTATTCCAGCAGGATTCCTGTGAGTAGATAAATCTTACCATACGGGGGTCACATGAGATGATCTAAGATTTTTTGAACAAAGCACTCAATGAATCCATTCTACATGGTTAATTAGATTCTGCTTAAATCCTTCCAGAAACACAAAACTCACATACTGTACTTTTAAAGAATTCTGACTACTAAAAATATCATTTTCTCACTGAGCCAAACTCTGAATTCCCTGTTTTCTTCTCTCTTCTACGAGATAACTTGTAAGTCTGTGAATAGATCTACTACTCTGTCATCACCAGATCAAACTTCTTTTCCAGGCAATCATTTTTCTTTCTCAGGGGCTTTCAAATCCTCCTACAACCCAGAACCCTCTAGTTTGGATGTATTATAATTCATCCAGAAATTCCTGCGCTTGGTGTGAGCCCTTTAAGCACAGTATCCCAAGAACTGCTCTACTAAACAAACATAAATGGTGACAGCCACGTAAGAGCCCCATGGAGAGACCCACTGGGACTCCTTGCCAGTTAGGGAATAACACTACTCTACTCCATCTGCCTAAGATGTTTCACCTACAGAGCCCTGATGGACTCAAGATAGGGTCACAAAAAAATACTCTAGTCATCTCTAGACTTATGCTCCTGATGTATAATATCATTCATTCCCCATAGAGACAATGGAAGATTTTCTGGGAGAACAGATGGTGGTGGCCCTATGACAGGAAGACTTCTAACCTTTGATACTACCTTCGCTGAATTATTTTTGAGCAAAATAGACAGAAGTCACTGGCTTTCTTTATATATGCTATTATTTCGTTGCATGGTACTCTGTTCCACCTCAGGTACATAATTCTTCAGTGGGTACAGTACTCCAACTCCCCAGGATACTTCAGGCTAACCACTAAAATTCTTAAATGTGGAACAAGATATAAAGTTCCCATCAATGAGTGGGCAATTTGTCCCAAAACACATTGCTGTGTATGAGTACAAAACACACAGGCCCTCCACCATATATAGAACTGCTTTACCTTGGTTCATTCACATAAAAAACTCAATACATGCATAAGCCCTGATTTCACCCTCGAGTATCGCCAAACGCTCAAGGCATGACAACTAAATATAATGTAGTGTCCTGCATCAAATGCTGGAACAGAAAAAGAGCATTATTGGAATAATGCCTTCCTTAGTGAATCTAGAGGCTACTTAACAGTAATATAACAACATCAGTTTCTAAATTGTGGCAAATATAATTATTTAAAGTATTAACTTATTAAAATATTCACCAGCTTTAGAGGAAGCTGAGTATTCAATTACTCTGTACTATTTTTGCAGCATTTCTATAAAACTAAAATCATTCTAAAATAAAGTTAAAAAAAAAGTCCCTGACACTTCAGTTTCAGACTGCTTCAGCAGAATAAATCAAGGTTTAAAATAATCAGTGATTAACTATGGCACTTTTTAGCATGTCAGAGACAAGACATTAAAAGAAGAGCCCACTGCATTTCATAAAAATTAAAAATTTTTGTGTTGGAAAGGACTTTGTTAAGAGAATAAACTGATAACCTACAGAATGGGAAAAAATATTTCATCTACAATGACGAACTTGAAAGTAAAAAGAACTCTTAAAACTCATGAGTGAAAAGAAAATATCAAATAAATTAGAAAATGGGCAAAAGACATTTCACTGAAGAGAGTTAGATGGTAAATAAATACAGGAACAATCATTATACACCTATTGTTTTCTTTTCCCCCTTTTTTTTGGAGGTGCTAGAGGTAAACCCAGACATACTAGGTAAGCACTCTACCACTGAGCAATATATTCCAGCCCTTTTACACCTACCACAATGACTAAATCAGTGACAACACAAAATGCTGGTAAGAATGCAGAGAAAACTAAATCATTCACTTGTTAGTGAGAATTTAAAATGAAAAACAGCTTATGGCTGGGGATGTAGCTCAGTTGTCACATGCACAAGTCTCTGGGTTCAATCTCCAGCGAAGGAAGGGAGGGAAGGAGGGAGGGAGGGAGGAAGGAAGGAAGGAGGGAAGGAGGGAGGAAGGGAGGAAGGGAGGGAGGGAGGGAGGGAGGGAAGAAGAAAGGAAGGAAGGAAGGAAGGAAAAACCAGTTCAACCATTTCAGGAAAAACTAAACAGGCAGCTACCCTAAAATCCAGCAACTGCATGTCTGGGTAATTTTTCCAATAGAAACGAAGATTTGTGTTCACACAAAAAGCCTGTACACAAATGTTCATAGCAGTATTATTTATTATAGCTAGTATCTAAAAATACTTTCAACAGCTCATTAGTTAAGGAAGTTGTGGTGCATTCATACCATGCAATACTATTCAGCAACAAAAAGCTATGAACCACTGAATCACGTAATAATGAGGATGATTCTCGACAGAATAATGCTAAGGGAAAAAAGCCACTCAAAGGGTTACACATAGCATGATTCCATTTATATACCATTCTTAAAATGACAAAATTATAGACAGAAAATTTATTAGTAGTTGCCTAGAGATAGAGAAGGAAAGAAAAGGTACAGGTAGGTGCCTATGGATTAAAAGAGGAAGTGTAGGTCTGAATATAATCCAAGTGACTCAGTAAGCAGAGGCAGGAGGATCACAAGCGAAGCTGGGCTTGGCACTCGATAAACCACTCCTATTATGCAAATATATACACACAAATAAATGCCTATAAAACCAGTAAAAATCTAAGAAAGCTCAATAGATTATATCAATGTCAATTTCCTAATTATATTACACTATAGTTATGTAATATGTTGCCACTGGGGCAAAATGAATGAAGCTATATGGGATCTTTCTGTTATTTCCTCAAATCCATGTAAATTTACAATTATCTCAAAATAAAATTATATTTTTAAAAAGAAGAATCCAGTCATTTGCCCCAGCTTTATTCCCACAAGGGCTTAGTTTGACAAGAAATCAAGTCTTCAGGCCAGCTACTCCAAAGGCTGAAGCAGGAGGCAAATTCAAGACCAGCCTGGGCAACGTAGCAACACTGGGTCCCAAAATAATAGAAACAGGTATGCAGATGAAGCTCAGTGGTAAAGTACTCCTGGATTCAATCCCCAGTACCAGGTTTAAAAAAAAAAAAGAGAGAGAGAGAAATTGAGCTTTCAATGTGATAGCACGTGGAGTACTTACCTTGCCAGGGCAGTTATAGTTCTCATATTCATCAGTCCCACACATTACAGGAAGGAAACCCAAATAGTTATCTACTTTTAGATAAATAGAGGCACTTAACTGAATTCTGACACATACTTACTTTTGTACCCTGTGTAGCAGGCAAGAGGTCAACAAACACCTTCAGGTCTGTAAAACAACACGGTTTATCCCCAAACTTTTTAAAATACTGGAACATTAATTCTTCTGGATCACCTAAGGGCAGGGAGGGGGGACATTATTATATTATTTCTAACTGAAGCAATTCCTAATTTAAGTGAGAGGTTTAATTTGGAAATATTTCAATTAAAGTGTTGCTTAATGCTTGAATGACAAGGAATGAAAATAACAGAGGGCTGGATGCATATTGGTTTAAAGTTCACTCTTACATTTAAATTTTCAGCTTCCCTATTATTGTACCTAGGAAATATGAAGCTATCTTATTCAGTTAAAATTTACATAGCAAAAAGATTTACATTAAAACCCAAACAAAAACATAAGATTATATGCAAACGTTAAAAACATAGCTTCTCTCCAACAGTTAGAAAATTTAAACCTGAATTTAAGAGAACTACCAGTTCATTTTAATTTCCTTCCAATTAAAAGCAAAGTAAAATAAAAATAGAAAAATAAAATGTTCCCAAACTGACATAAGATTTAAGAAACAAGAATTTTTTAAAAAAATATATTTTTTAGTTGTCAATGGAGCTTTATTTATTTATTTTTATGTGGTGCTGAGAATCAAATCCAGTGCCTCACTGATGCTAGGCAAGTGCTCTACCACTGAGCCACAACGCCAAACCCGAAACAAGGATTTTTAATAAAAGGTTTCTGTAAGATTGTATGTCTAAATTCCTTTTCCTATTCTTTGTTAAGAAATACCCATGCTTTAACCAGATTTTCAAAGAACTCTGTGACTCAAAAGAAACTAAGAATCATTCACTGGTCTGGCAAAAAAAATTCATGCCTACTAGACAAATTCACATTTGCAAGATAGGGGCTGATAAGACCCAGGGCTAGATAAAGCAGGTATTCAAGGCAGATTCAGACACTTTTAAATTCAGCTTTGCAAAGAAAATATGGGCACTTTCATTTGCAGATCTGGAAGTAGCAGACTGAAGTTACTGAAGTAAACCCAAAGAGAAAAGCCAAAGCTGAGGAGGAAGCTCATGTAAGGCATTTGCCTAGCATGTGGAAGGTACTGGGTTTGATCCCCACTGCAAAAAAAGAAAAAGGAAAAAAGAGGAAGAAAGAGAAATCAGCACGGAATTGAAAACTGGCTATGAATAAGCTACAACAGGAATGCTAGAAAAGTACACAGTTAATTTTAGAAAGTTCTGCCAAGGACATCGAATAATTAAAAAGGACAGAGATGTTCTAGAACAGATTTCAAATATTGGAGGTGCTCATTATATCAGAACAACTGGGCTCCCCAAAAAAACCTCTTAACTTTTTTGTTGTTGTTTTTTTTTTAATATTTATTTTTTAATTATAGGTGGACACAGTATCTTTATTTTGCTTTCATGTGGTGCTGAGGATCGAACCCAGTGCCTCACACATGCTAGGCGAGTGCTCTACTTCTGAGCCATAACCCTAGCCTTTAATTAACTTTTAACAAGGACAAAGCTTTGATATCAATAAATGGGGAAAAATAGTTTCATCAGAGCTTTCTCCTTAAAAACGAAGCTGAGGGGTACTGCGATTGTGGCTCAGTGGCAGAGTGCTTGCCTTGCACGTGTGGGGTCCTGGGTTCAAACCTCAGCACCACATAAAAATAAAGATATTGTGTCTGTGTATAACTTTAAAAAAAAAAAAAAAA